CCAAGTCCCTCATGGCAAACTCCGCCCCTAGCCGTTGCTTGACCTCTCGAATGAGGTCTTTGGAGTCGGAGAAAAGAAGGAGGTCATCGACGTAGAGCAAAAGCACCAATTGCTTCTCCCCCTCCTTCAACACGTACAAAGCGCTATCACACACGCTACGCGCGAAGCCGTGTTGAAGAAGAAAGTCGTCGATGCGCTTGTACCATCCGCGTGGGCTTTGCTTCAAGCCATAGAGGGTACGCTTGAGCTTCCACACCCGACCGCTACCGTCATCGTACCCCGGGGGTTGCCGCATGTAGACTTCTTCCATGAGAAGCCCGTAGAGGAAGGCGGTGCAAACGTCCAATTGTTCCACCTCGAGGTTGAGAGATGCCGCTAGCGCGAGCAACACCCAAAGAGTGGAGGCCTTCGAAACGGGAGCGAAGGTCTCACTATAGTGCTCCCCCTCCCGTTGAGTGTACCCTTGCGCCACAAGCCGCGCCTTGTAGCGTTCGACACCTCCATCGGCTCCCAATTTCTTCCTAAGCACCCACTTGCATCCCACCAAGTAGGCACCCTTCGGCGGGTCGACGAGCTCGAAAACATCGTTCTCCTTGATCGATGCTAACTCCCTCTCCATCGCTTGCTTCCATAGCGGTGCATCCGGGGAAGCCAAAGCCTCCTTGTGAGTGCGTGGGTTATCGTCGCCGATGGTCGCTAGGCAAATCGCCGGACTCTCCTCATCCGACTCCCCAACGGCGACCGTAGCATAGTCGGTTAACCTCGTGTTGGGGCGAGGTGTACGACGCCCGCGAGTCAACGCCAATGGTAGGGAAGAAGGTGCGGAGGAAGTGGCCTCCTCGGTTGGTGGCACCTCCTCGACATCATCATCGCACTCCTCGTTCTCTCCCCCTCCACTTTCGGCTCCCTTCTTCACGTGCGGTGAAACCTCCACCGCTTCATCCTCCTCTCGTGCGGGAAGGACGACGGTGAGTTGCGGCGTTTGTTTCTCCTTTGTCGGGAACTTGTCTTCGTCGAAGATCACATCCCGAGACGTGACGACGCGTTTTTCATCCAAATCCCACACTCGCCATGCACGCTCGTTCGCCGCAATCCCCAAGTAGATCGCCGCACGAGCTTTCGGTTGCAACTTGTGGCGAAGTGGATCCGGTACATGGTAGTAGCAAAGGCACCCAAAGGTGCGTAGGCGGTATAGGTTCGGCTTCGTTCCGGTCCATGCTTCGAACGGAGTCGTTCCCGGTAGCACCTTTGTTGGCACACGATTACGAATCCATGCCGCTAGCGCACTCGCCTCTCCCCACCACTCGTTCCCAAGCTTGGAGTGTTGAAGAAGTGAACGAACGGCCTCCATCAATGTGCGATTGAGCCGCTCTACCGCTCCATTTTCTTGGGGTGTGTGGGGTGTCGTGACGTCGTGCTTAATGCCCTTGCTTTTCATCCATTTTTCAAGCTCGTTGCTCACGAATTCGCCGCCACCGTCGGTGCGAATGCACTTGATCCGCTTCTTGCCGTCGTCGCAAACGTCGAGCGCCCACTCTTGAATCGCCTTGGCCGCATCTCCCTTAGCCTTCAAGAGTCGGGTCCAACTCATCCGCGTCGCGTCGTCGAGCATCACTAAGAGGAACCGCGCTCCTCCCTTTGATGCATGCCGCATCGGTCCACACACGTCCATGTGAACAAGCGCAAGCGGGTCCTTTGCGAGGGGTGAGGTACGGCTACCAAATGGCTTGCGAGCCATTTTTCCTTTGACACACGCCGTGCACACGCCCTTCTCGTCGTTGCCGGCGATCACGTCAAATCCCTTCGCAAGTCCTTTGTTGGCCAACTCTTTGACCGAGTCGTAGTTGGCGTGCGCAAGCCGATTATGCCACATTTTGAGAGTCGCCTTGGAGCCTTGCGCCACGTTGGATGAGGCCGTTGTCGGATGCGTCTTGAGTTGGTAGAGTTGTCCGTTGAGAACGCCTTGCGCGAATTGCTTCCCCTTCCAAAAGAGGTTCATCTTCGCGCCATCGATGGTGACCTTCACGTCTTTCTTTGCGAGTTGAGTGACGGAGAGTAGATTCACCTTCAATCCCGGGACGTGAAGCACGTTCGTGATGTCCACCGGCCCGCCATCGACGATGAGACGCGTACTCCCAACTCCAACCACCGGTAGCGATTTATCGTTCCCGAAGACGACGCGCTTGACGTCTCCCGGAGCACCGACGTTGTTGAGGAGCGACGCCGAGTGCGTCATGTGTTGTGTTGCACCGGTGTCGAGGAACCACGCGTCGTTTGAAGTGTTGATCCCGTCACCGGCCAACAAAACGAGCGACTCCGTTTAATCATCCGCCTCGCCGGATGCCGTGTGCGCGTTGCCCTCTTGGTTCCGCGCCTTCGATGGAATCCAATCGCTCGGCCGCTTCCGACATTCACGCCAAAAGTGCCCCGCTTTGCGACAATAATGACACTTGCTCAAACCGTTCGATGCGTTGCCCTTGCCGCGACCGTTTCCACCGGACGACTTCTTTGCCTCACCGTTGCTCCACTTGGACTTCTTTCCGGAGCTCCCTCCGGAGAACATGGCGGTCTCCACGCTCTCGTTAGCGAATTGTCGGCGTCGCGATTCTTCATGGAGAAGCCGACCGACCACCATTTCCTTCGTCCAAGTGTTTTGCACGCTATCGAGTGTCGTAATCACCGTCGACCACTCTTCCGGAAGGCCGCAAAGCAAGGTGAGAATCCAATCCTCCTCCGTGACCGTTCCACCGAGGTCCATGAACGTTTCCCCGAGTTCCTCCACACGAGTCGCATACTCGTGCATCGATTCGCCCGCGCGCAACTTCACCGTGTAGAACGCATTTCGGGCTAGGATCTTGCCGTGGAGAGTCTTGTTCACGTGCATCGTCTCGAGCCGCTTCCATGCTTCACGCGCCGAAGCTTCGAGCTTGATGCACGTGCGCACCGAACTCACGAGGTTGATGCCGATGCGCGAAATCAACGTTGCGAACGCCTTTTGGTCCTTCTTCTTCCATGCCGCGATCTCGTCCTCGTTGACCGGTTTTTTCTTCGTTCCGTCGAAGAGACCCCAAAGTCCCCGCTCCATCATGAGCACTTGGAACTTAAATTTCCACGCGGAGTAGTTTTGTCCCGTGAAAATCGGAACCGCCGACGTGTCGAACACCGTCGCGTTTGTCCAGGGTTCGACGGGATTCGAGACGACACCACCTAAGGAAGTGCCGGAGGTTTCGCTTGACGTCATCATGCTTGCTACAAGTCGCGCACGTAGACTCTACCGACCAGCTCTGATACCACTGTTGTAGAGGCGTCTCCTCTACTTTGCAGGAACTCTAAGTTGCACTAAACGATAGAGCACAGTCTTGGCTTTCCAACAAGCCGTCAGACACGTTAATCGCCCAAGTATACGCCGAGATATTGGCGTTCACGTGATTGCTAGTGCTCTTAGAAGCAAGGATAGACCTCTCTGGAATTTTGGTTCGAATGGACCATGTACAAGAAGATTCAGGATTTCAGTATAAAGCATGCATACAAGGCAGGTCGATTTATAGCAAATGCATTACATCGAACCGCACATGTAACATCACATCGCTACACTCGCGTCGCGAATGCGCCGCGTGTAACATTTCGGTTGGGGTGAAATTCGACCACCGAATTTCACACCGAACACACCGAATTCGCCTTGCACTTGAAGGTTGGAATGTGGTGCCGCCACGTGGCACCGAAGGGTGAGTCTCCCGAAGTCAATCGGTGCCACCCCACCGATCCCTAGTCAAAGGGATCGAAGGCACCGAAGTGCCCTCGGTGGGTTGGGGGCATACCACCGCCCCACCACCGTTTCCTTCCAACATCTTCAACGCGGCTCAACCTGACAACCTGACAACAGAAAATGGTACTTCCGGAGGCGTTTTCACCCAATCAAGCTCTAACCGTTCCTCATTCAGTGCAGTCAACCCCCGTCCCTCCCAACCATCCCTCCCTCCCATCCCTCCCCTCCCAAGCAGGTGTCCCAAACGAATGACCTCCACCTCATCGCGGTGTTTGGGTGTAACGCTAGAGGCATTTGCCTCTAGCGGCCAAGAGGGGTCAACGGTAAGTGACAAGACATGACAACAGTTCAAGCGGCGGCGCGGTTCTGAAGATGGAGCGGTTTAAGACTTGGCGCTGCGGTTCTGCATATGGAGTTGCTGAAGACTAGCGCAGCGGTTTTGCGGATGGAGTAGTTGAGCACATAGTGATGCTTGCTTATGAAGTTGTATATGACTTGTATTTATAATTCTTGGTTTCTGTTCACGATTTTTTTTTTTTATAAGCAGTGATATATTCTAAACCACCATGGCTGCCACGCGCGGCAGAGCACGCCTCAGTTTCAAATGCGATATGTTGCTGGCTGCAGCGAGGTGCGACACGGCCGCTCCGTCTGTGCCAGATTGCAGGCGGGGAGAAGTGCCAGAGTGCAGGCGGGGAGAAGTGCCAGAGTGCAGGCGGGGAGAAGTGCCAGAGTTTGAATTGAATGGATAGTTCTGGAGGGTTGTATCCGCGGTAAGCTGTGGCGATCCAAACTCTAACCTAAACAATCGGAACATTCTCAATATAAGCTAGAGGGTTTGTTTGGTTTGCTTTGTGCTTCTGATAACGAGTCATCGTGTGTACTCTACTTAGGTTCTTTGGGGAAGGGCAGGAATGAACGTTCCTAGGAGAAATCTGACGTGGCAGTTCTTGGTTAATTTTGCGTGAGCTGCGGGGAGGGCGTAGGAAGGAGCTGGTCGATAAACTTTTTTTCTGCTGAGCTGTCAGTAAGATTAGCTGCTCACAACGGGAAATGATCAAACTGGGGCCGAAGAGTGCCAGAGGGATGACCGAAGTAGGGCCACGAGGTGTGGTTGGAAGTTTGTGAGCCAATAGGAAATGAGGTTGGTTTGGTCACCTGTCACTGTCCGTCACCCAACCACCACCGTGCTTTACTGTATCAACCTCCTCACGTCCTTACTTCGAGTTCCGTGATGCACCTCCCTTTATCGTCGTTTCTAGTTTCTAGGTTTCCAATCGCTGTTAGATCTAAGCTTTACCATCGCTTCTCTAGTTTCCATCCCGCGTGGCTTCTCAGATCTAAGCGTAAAGTAGGGCTTGTCGCCGTAGATAGTGTCAGTCGCGTTTATTAGCCGTATAGAAAATATTTGCCGCTCCACGTAGCTTCAAGTGGGTATCGCCACTTTCGTGCGTCAGATGTTCGTATTGTAGCCAGAGTATGATTTATGTTCAGATTATGGATTGCGGCCTGAGTAGAAACTTTCGTTTGCTCACGGATTTAATGGCGGACGGATTTAATGGGGACGGATTCAATGGCGGACGGACATAAAATCAGTATTGATTTGCGGGCACAGATCGGTTAGCAGTTACATGCGGACGCGACAGTATCTTCGGTGATCAAGACGAGGCACATTGAACCTTGCTGAACCGGACGGTTACGCCGCAAGACGTAAGAAACGGAAAGCATAACAGTAAGGGAGGTTTGGGGGGCGAGGGGAGAGGGGGGGAAACGGGGGAGGGGGGAGGGGAGAGAAGAGGGGGGGTGGCGGGAGTTTGGTTGGGTGGGGAGGGCATTTTTCATCTTCTTCCGCTCTCCCCTCGTTCCCCCCGCTCGTCCGCACCGTCCCCATCTCCTTACCGCTCACCCCTAGTCTCCCCTCTGTTCTTAGTTCACTTCTCCCCATCTTCCCCCTCCCTCCCCCCCTCTTCCCCCCAACTCTATTCCCCATCTCATCTCCTTACCACTCACCGCTCATGTCTCCTCTGTTCTTCACTCTATTCCCCCCATCCTCCCCTCCCTTCCCCCACCTCCGCTTCCCCCCCTCTCCCCCTCCCCTCTCTTTTCCCCGCTTTCATTGCATATCCGTACCGCTCACACCTCATCTCCCCTTCGCTCAATGCCCCGCGCCCTTTCCTCGTTTCCTCCCCTCCCCCCCCCCCCCCTTTCCGTCCCTGCTTTTGTCGCATATCGTTACCATATATCCCTCATCTCCCCTCTGCTCTTTGCTCAATTCTCCCCGATCTCTCATCCCCACCCTGCTGCCAGCTCATCTCCACTCCGCTCTCCTCTCATCTCCCCTCCCCCTCTCTTCCCCGTTCACCCCTCATTTCCTTTCTTTCCCTTTTTTCTCCACCTCCCACTGCTGCATTCCCCCCTTCACTCGCCCCTCATTTCCCCAGCTCTCCGCATCTCCCCCCCACTCACCCCTCATCTTCCCTCCGCTCTCCCTGCATCTCCCCACCGCACCCCTCACCCCCCTTTCTCTCACCCCTCATCTCTCCATCCCCATGGCCTGAACAGGAAAAGACTCAGCCCAAGCACTTCAGAAAACAAATCCCCGTGTCGCAACGTCCAACTGTGCTTGCTCCAGTAACAGTTCCATCAAGCATTCGTCCAATCTTGGCCGTCGCGTCGCGCCGCTGCCGATTTTCATCCGTCACAGTCCGTGTGACTGACAGCTTTGGGACTACGCAACGCAGTGCATGCGGCCGCTTAATTGCTGCTACCTGACATGTACATTGGCAAATTCGTATCTGTAGATTTACTGGGTGGGTGTCTTTCTAGCTTTGATGAAATTTGGTGAGGAAAAACAGGTACAACCTTTTGCATGCTGGAAAAATCAATAGGCATTACAAACTAGGCAAGAGCACCACCAACAGGGAAACACCACCAAGGCAAACTAGCTAGTCGTTGCAAGTAATTCAATGGTCCAACCAAGGTAAATAGATAATGAACGTGTATCAGGGTTTATTTATAAGGGGAACACCACCAGCTGCACTACCATGGAAATGAACACTTGCCATGCCACACCAACAGGGAAGAAGAGACACCCCTTCTTTGTCTTCTCCTGATCTGAATCCTCCACCCCACCCGTCCCCTTCCTCTCCATGTATGGGTATGCCGCATGCAAGTGCGTGCGGCCCCTTCATGGAAATTGGCTAGCTACTACTAGATCCATACAGGATGCCTCTCCGCCTGTGCCTGTGCTTGACACTGGCAGCCAGGAAGAATGCCCGCAGCGGCTGCTGAATCTTCCTCAGCACGCCCCTCACCTCCCCCAGATGCACCCCCGTCACCGACCGGTCCCTCACACACGCCAGGCACTCCGGTTTTCCCGCACACAGGGCCGCAGGCAGGAGGGCGTACTGCCCCCGTGCCATGCAGTCAGAGGTGTATGTGGTGTTGAGAGGGTGTGTGTTGTGCCAGCTGTAGTAGTGGACTCGGGATGCGGCGGCGAGGGAGGAGTGGTGGGGGGAGTGGAGGTGCGGGGGGAAGAGCTCGAGGAGCGTGGCGTTGGGGGGGAGGAAGAGGGTGTTGGCGAGGGATGGGCCGTGCATGGCGATTAGCAGAGCCGTGCGCTGCAGGGAGGGAGGGAGGAGAGGGGAGGTGAGTGGATGCAAGGAAAGTGAGCAAGGAGAAGATGAACGTTTGTCAGAGGGAGTGGGTGGGGCAGAGGATGAACAAGTGGAAATGAGAGACAGCGAAGTTGATGGGATTGAACATGTTTTTCAGAGTCAGCCGAAGGAGAGTGAGGGAGCGAGAAAAAGCATGAGAGAGAGAGGCTCACCTTCATAATGGCGACTTGCTCGATGAAGGAGCGATTGGAGAGAGTGACAACATCCACAGTGAGCTTCGGCATCATGGCTCGCACCAGCTCCGCCACCTCCCCTGCATTCGCCATCCCTGCGTCCCTCTCCACTTCATCCCCCCCCTCCCCGTTCCCATCCCCATCTGCATCCCCTTCCCTCTCCTCATTCCCCCCTGTCTTCCGTTCCCCTTCCTTTAAACCCCCTTTTAGCCCATCACTCGCCAGCACAGTCACATGGTGGAACCTTCCTGTCCGTTTCCTCATCTCCTTAAAGAACTATTTAATCTCTTCACATCCCCGCTCAGTTCTATCTGTGCCCGGGCCTGCAGGCTCCTGGCCGCCCCAAGCTTCCTACCCCCCCATAACTTTTTAGACACCAGTGATTCTACATCATCCACCATCTCCCATGCTCTCTCCCTTATTGCCTCCACAGCCCAGCCATTCCTCGTTTTTTGTTCCCTGCCCGGGATGAAAACGGCGTTCTGGAAACACTTCACCTGCCCGACGCGCCTGCCCGGCAGGGCGAGGGCTTGAGGACCCAGAAGCAGCCGGGTCGCGCCGCCCACCCAGAGGTTAGGAGGGTGGGCAGCGGAGGGGAGGAAAAGATGGGGTCCCGTTGAGGATTCAGTATCTTCAGGAGCACTAGTGGAGGCACCAGCACCAGCAGCAGCAACAGCAGCATCAGCACCAGCAGTACCGGCAGCAGTGGAAGCAGAATCAACTGAGCTCGACCCACTATCTTGCAGGCCCTTTATTTTGATTGAACCAGCCATGTGGTAAGAAAGTTGGTGGTGGGAGCTGGGCTTGGAAATGGTCGGCAGGTGGAGTGCCACGTCATGCAGCGCATCTGCCAGGTCAGCAAACTCACTCTGCCGCCCAGCCGAAGGCAGGACGACGGCCAAGTGGAGGGCGGGCGGCGGAGAGAGAGCAGATGAGCGGAAAACTTGCTTTCCTTGAGAGGCACTAGAGGCGGCATAGAATGCCATTTCATCCGCACTCAGAAACCCCCCCATCTTCTCATAGAGCGCTTCAGCAATGGAGTCCACGTCAGCAACCTCACTGCTGCTGCTGCTGCTGCTGCTGCTCCCATCACCACCTGTCCCACTCCCACCAGTACCACTCGTACTCGATTCCCCCCCACCTGCACCGCTACCTTCCCCAGCAGCACACTGCTGCACGAGCCCCAGGTTGATCTTAGACAGGTCAGAGGCAGCGTGGATGGCCTGTCCGCCCAGGTCCCCTGCCAGAGCGCTCTCTAGCGCCTCGCGGTCGAACCACACACCGGCACTGCTGCGGTGCAGGCGACTGGCGCCCTGCATGTGCACGTAGCACACGTCCCGCAGGAGGAGGGCGCAGCGTGGCGGGGGATGAGGAATGGTGGTGGTGGCGGTGGTGCTAGTGGAGGTGGGATCGAGTGACGGGTCGGTGATAGCATATTGAAGATGAGCGGAGGACGACGAGGAAGAGGAGGAGGAGGATGAGGGTGTGGGTGTGGGGGAAGCGGATGGTGTTTGCAGGATGTACGCCCCTGGCACGTCAGGGTACGGGGTGACATGAACGTCTGGCAATCGGGCTAATCTAGAAAGGAAGAAGGCAGCGGAGGCAGCAGAGGCTGTGAGAGCTGCAGATGAATGGGTGTCATCCCCGGGCGTTCCATCTTTACTCCCACTGCTCTCATCTTCACTCCCATCACTCCCATTGTTTTCATCCTTATTCTGATCATGCTGCATGGGCATGTCTGATCCATCCTCTAGGACCTCTTCTTCTTCTCCTCCCTGCCTCTCCTGATACCCCTCCTCAAACTGATGCTCGTCTTGCTGCTGCTGCAAGAGACTTTGTCTGCTGCTGCTGTGTGCAGAGTGGTGGAAACCGGTGGAGTAGGGTTGGTGGAGGGACCGGAGGGATGCTGTGTGGCGAGTGTGGTTAATGTTGGACCTGTATGAATGGCAAGTGCAGAGGGGACGAGGGCGGCGAGGGTGGTGGGAGGGTTTGAGTGGCCTAGGTTGCAGTTACACATATGTTACACTTAGGTTATGATTCGAGAACGTAGGTTGCACTCACAGGCTAAAGGATACAGTTACAAGTCACACGTTACACTCAAAGGTCATATGATACACTCACAGGTCATAGGTTACAAGAGCAGCAGCAGCATGGCCGAGAGGGTGGGAATGGCAGTCGTGGAAGAGGGGGATGCAGGCACCCGAGAGCAGGGAGTCGATGAGAAGCAGAGAGAAGAGGCCGTTGACCGCCGCCACCACTGCACGCACGGAGGGATGGGAGAAGAGTGACGAGAGGAGGGACGTGAGTAGAGATGGGAGGAGATGCATGGGCGAAGAGGGAATTGCTTGAAGCCACTGTGACGATCATCAAGAGTGACCCATGCCCAAGCATTGCAAACAGACCTTCAAACCATGAGCGACGCACCAGCCATGAAAGCCACAAAGTGTCGGTACTTCTTCACTCGCCGCCACACATTCACCCCCGCAACCCCCGCTCCCCCCGGATCCACCCCCACTCCCGCTCCACCTCCCACCCCCGTCCCCGCGCCTTCCCCCGCTCCCCCACCCCCCGCAGACGCTCCTGTTGCGCCCACTGCGCTCCCCGCCGCAGCTCCGCCCGCCGCCTTGCCATAGTTGCCCGGCCAGCCAACGTACTTGAACTCCTCGGAGAGATTAAACGTCTCCTCGGCCACCGTTCCCCACCACGCGTCGAGCGCACGTGCGTAGCGGGAGAGCGAGGAGAGGAGGAGGGCGAGGTGGGAGGAAAGCGAGGAGGAGAGGGAGGAGGGGAAGGGGGAGGAGAGGTAGGAGGGGAAGGGTCGGTGGGGAGGCGAGCGGGCGATGAGGTGTTGGACTTTCTTAGGGTCCCAGGATTCCATCGGCCCTGTCGGCCATTGCTCCTCGATCCCATCGCCTTGTTTCAACTTCCTGCTTTCGCCAACCTCGGGCCCTGCTTCGATATAAGCACTTTGATCGACCATGGCGGATTCGTGGAGATCGCTCTCGTGGTACGCTCTCCCCCGCTCCTCCGCTATAACGGAGGGCCGTCCCTCCTGAATTATTATCTCGCTATTTTCACGCGCACTTCCGATTTCACTGTAGCTGCTGTAAAGAGGATTTGATTCTGTCACCCCTTCGCTGGCACTCGCCTCAACGCCTGCCGCGATCAGCTCGATGGCATCTCGAAGACTGTCCCGTGCTGAAGAAATTGCTCCGCTATAACCATCCTTGTTAAGAATAGAGCCGCTTGCCTCCGCATCGTGGCGGCGGGCTTCCAAGCGCTGAACATCGACATTAGCTGATTCGTGAAGGGAATGAGCGGGGATGGAACTGCCGTCAATGTCGATCGCGCCATCTGTTCGTTGCCGCTCCCCACCGCATTGATCACTCCCTCCACCGCTGCATCGTTCCCTCGTTATAGGAACACCATAGGGATCTCCAGTCGCACGCAGAACCTCTGTAGCGACAGGCTCGCTAAGAAAGGATTCGCGAAGATTCTTCGCGGACGAGCCTCGCCTGGCCAATCCAGAAGCGGATGCTCCCGCTGGTGCGGATAACACGTTAACCTCTTCTGGAAAGTCCGACGCCCTGTCCCCCCAACGAATCTCTGCCGATAAACTCCTCCTATTTGACGGTTCGTTAGGCGTCTCAAAATTCTGACCTTGACGGGGATCCGCGGTTAAACTGCTTCTTGGCGCGTCGAATGCGGTCGCGGAGATACAAGATTCTGGCTTCCGCGGAAGCGGTGGATCAGTGCGATCGGTATTGCGGGACTCCATGACTAGATCAGCGGAGATAAGCGACGAACATTAGTAAGTGAGTTGGCTGAAATGGCTCCAAGGTTCGTCGCCTTGTAAGGATGTCGCCTGGTGGTTCACAGCGGAGAAGTGAAATTGAAAACAAAAGCTCAACCGATAAACTCGAGGACGAGAAAAATGGCGACAAACACAAAGGTGATGGAGATGGTGATGCGAATCGCAATGGTGTAGCGGTGGTGCTGCTGCTGGCGATGGTGACGATGGTGGTGGTGGTGGTTGGTTGGTTGTGAGCTTTTTGTCGAGTTTGCAAAAAAGCGAAAAAAGCAGGGCCCCAAGAAATCCCCAGATTCCTTCCTCGAGATTGCCGTGGTGGTGAAACTTGACTGGGAAGGTTGTGGGTTGGTGAAACTTGACTGCGCTTTGGCACGGGACCCTATTTTGCAGCGTGACAAAGAGATGGTATACGTCTTAAAGCGGTTCGGTGTGGTTAGGTCATAGTCATGGATTTGACGCTTCAGGTGATGATGCTGGGGCTTCGCTCTCGTGTGTTTTTGGCCGTTCGTCCCTTGCGAGGCCGCAATTCGTCCCTTGTTTTGAATTGAACGTACTGTACAAAGGTGAATCCGCCCTTGCTATGACTGCAGTACGATGGGCGAGAGTTGACGACTGATGGTTGACTGGTGCGTGGCGGTGGGTGCATAAGAATATTATTCAGTATGAGATGTACTCAATACAGAACTGAGAGACAAGGCTATGAAAAACATGTTGCTACTTATCATAAGCGGTGGCATGTGAGACATACCGGTGCGGTAGATGAATCAAATGGCATTTGACATGCACCTGTTCTTATAAAACACACTTGACAATACAAGGCACAAACTGACGCAAATTAGCATACCGTACAGTGTTTCAGGTTTCCGAAGGTACATACCGGTAGGAAGGGATTAGCTGCTTGAGTTAGTAAATATACACATACGGTACTCAAGATTCCCCATTGCCTCGTCCCATCCGTTCCCGAAACACCTCATCCAGACTGTCAAGTGACGGTGTATCAGAGTCGATTTGCTCCCCCATTACCCTTTGCCCATCACTGGAGCCTCTACTCCTCCCACCCCAGCTTCTATTCCCGCCTCTCAACCCGCGCCCCGCCCTTCCACCGTCTCTCCCACTCCCTTGCGACCTGCTCATATCTTCGCTACTAGCCGCTTCCCTATTGGTACTATCACTCATATCGTCCGATCTTGACCGTCCATCTCCAAACGAGACGTTTTGCCAGCCACTCCCAGAAGGCACCTCCCTCAGGCAACGCTGATCAGAAGAACCCCCCTCAATTTCATCGCCCCCCACCCTCTCCTCCCTCTCCTCCCCTCCATCCCTTTCTTCCAATTCACCCGCTTCCACAGTCAGTCCCCGTACCTGACCCCGTGATTCGGCCCGAGCCTCATCTGTTTCGTGTGCAGCAGCTGTTGTCACCTCTCCCTCTCTAGGCTGCTGCTGGGCTGATTGCCGGGCTGACTCCTGCTGAGATCCCCCCCCACCGCTTCCAGGCACCACTCCCTCCCCACTGCCTGACTCCCTCTGCTGCTGCTGCTGCTGCAGATTCTGCTGTGGCTGATGTCGCTGCTGCTGTGGAGGCTGCGGTCTGTGCTGTCTGCTGCTCTGAGCACTGGACTCTCCCCAATGGGGCACCGACTGGCCATGCATGGCCGCTCCTCTCCCCCCTTCCTGCTCCCGCTCCTCCTCCTGTTGCTCCTGCTCCTCATTCTCCTCGTCCTGCATTCTTTCCCCTTCCCTGCCATCACCCGTGCCCTTACCGCCATCCCCATCCCCGTGCCACCTTGCTTCCCCATTCAGCACCGGAACCTCTCCCTGTTGCGCCATCAACTCCCATCGCCCATCCCCTTGCCCTTCCCCTTGCCCCTCCTCGCTCTCGCCTTCGCCAAGCCCTCCCACTACTTCCTCCACTGCCCCACCCTCACCCTCTTCCTGGCATGCCTGAACATGGGCACCCCGCCCTGCCTCCTGCTGCCCTACCTGCCCTCCCCTGTCGCGTCTCTCCTCCCACCCTTGCACCGCGTCCCTATGCCCGCCAACATCCCCGTGCTGCTCTCTGCGCCCCGCTTCCTGTGCCTGCTCGTTTTGCTGCCCTGCTTCTTCTGCCTCCTCCCTGCACCCTGCTCCCTGTGCCTCGTCCCGCACACAAGCATCAAACCCACCTGGCACTTCCCCATGCACCCCTCCCCCTCTACCTCCTCCCCCTCCTCCTCCTCCCGCTCCTCCCCCTCCTCCCTCTCCCTCCCTGCCATCCGCCACACCACCACACCGCATACCCTCACCACCCTCCGCATGACCACTCTGCTGGTTGATTCTGGGCCCATTCGTTCCCCCGCCCACTTCAGGCACGAGGCACGGGTCTTCAAACGCGTACTGCAGTTCGGTATGCAGGGAACGGGAGGTGCGGGGAGGGGATGACACGGCTCGGGACGAACCTCCGGAGGTGGACAGGCGGGCACGCTTGGCGTCAGGCTCGGGAGAACCTGCTGACACGTTTGGATGGGCGGGGGTGGGGGGAAGTAACTGAAGCACAGGGGTTAGTCCAGCTTGCTTTTCAGTCTTCAAAGAGCCCAAATAATCCTTTAGGCGAAACCGGCATGCATTTGTGACCTCCCACCTGCCCGCCTGCCTGCCCACTCGCCTGCCTGCTTGCCAGCCCACCTGCCCAACCGCCCACCTACCTACCGGAACGTTGTTGCACGGGGATGAGCCAGTCAAAGAAGGACACCGGCGTGCCGTACCGCTGCCGCCTCCTCTCCCCGTGCCCCTGCTGACCCTGCTGCTGCTGATTGTGATGCTGCTGCTGGTGCTCGCGGTGCTGGTGCTGGTACTGGTAATCCATTTCTTGTTGCTGGTAATGCTGGTGGTGCTCGTGCTGCGAGTGGTGGTGGTCCGAGTGCTGCTGGGGCACCTGCAGGTGCAGCTGGTGGTCGCGTCGCTGCCGGCTGTACTCTGCAACGGTCGTCCACAGCTCGCCCACGCTCCACCCCTCCCTCAGCAGCCACTCACACACCTGCACGGGATAGAATGTGCAAATCTTAATGCTTGCATTTTAAATTCCAAGAACGTCTCGTCTCTGTACGCTACCCAGCCCCGTGTCTCGTACTCCATCCTCCCTCACCTGCACTCATCCTCACAGTTACCAGGAGCGACCAGGGGGAGTGAGTGGCGTTGATTCCTCACCTCTTTGAGCCTAGCAGCGCGATGATCAGCGTAGGTGAAGTAGAGCACGAAGGGGCGGCCGGCCTCAGAAGCAGCCATCCACTGCAGCATGCTCTTCACCTCCAGGTCGCCCCCAAACACGCCACACCCCCAGTTGCCCGTCGCTATGCCCATGCGATTGTGCTGGGACGTCAGGCTCAGTCGCCCCGGCCTCACGCCCCCTGCTGCTGCTGCCGCTGCTGCGGCTTCCCCAGCCGCCACCGCCGCCGCCGCTGCTGCTGCTGCTGCTGCTGCCTCTGATACTGGTAGTGCTGTGGCTGGTGCCGCTGCTCCCGCTGCATCACCTGCCGCCTCTGCACCCGGCCCCCGTGCAACCCCTCCCACCCCTGCCACAGGCTCCAGTCCTGCCCTTGCATCTGCTCTCCCTGCTGCAGCAGCCTCAGCGTTAGCAGCTGCTGAATGCCCGGGACTCGTTCTTTGACCTGCTACAGCTACCGGTGTGTATACAGCAGCAGTTACAGCAGTGGCAGCAGCAATGGCAGTGGCAGTGGCAGCAGCGACAGCAGCAGTAGTGGCAGCGGTAGCAGCGGTGGCAGCAGTATGAAAAGCACGGACCCTTCTTCTGTGGTCCCCACTCCCCAGGTCATCACTCCCCCCACTTTCACTCCCATTCTCATCCCTGCTCCTCCCCCTGCTCCATCCCCCACTCCCCGTCTCCTCCTGCCCCCCATGCTCCCCAAGCCCTCCCCCGCCGCCCGCCCCAACCACCTCCTCCTCCACGGCCCGCCTCAGCCCAGAAAGAGACAAATGCCGCCCGCTAGAATCCGTTGCCGCCCGACTTGGGGTATCACTTCCACTGCCTTCCGCCCTCCCTCCACCCCCTTCCGCACCACCACCCTTTCCTGCTGCACCTCCCCTTCCCCCTATTCCCCCCGTTCCCCCAGTTCCCCCCGTTCCCCCCGTCGCTCCCCCTGTGGCGCCACCGCTTCCCCCACCAGTAGCTCCCCCTGATCCCCACGTCCTCCCCCCTGTCCCCGCGCCAGTTCCCCCAGTGCCCGCGCCAGTCCCCCCTGTCCCTGTCCCAGTACCAGTGCCCTGGGGGGAGATGGAGGGAAAACAAACTGCCCCCGCAACGCCTGCTGATGTCACCAAAGCTCCTGCTGAACTCAGCAGAGCATCAGTGCGCACGAAGGGCAGGGAGGGGGACGGAGTCTGCTCAGACACCCTATTAGCGCTGCCCATTCCCAGCTGTGGTGACTCTCCAGTCGCCTGGCTCGCTGATTGGGCATGCTTCTCATGTGCCGCCCCCTCCTCCTCCCCCTCTTCTCTCACTTCCTTCTCCTTCATCTCCGTGTCCTCGTTACCCTTCTGGGCGTCTGCTGCCTTGTCCTCGATATAGTCCTCCTCCATTGGGGTTGCCTCCCCCTCTACCTCCATCTCCCTCCCCTCCCCACCCCCCACCACAAGCCCACCTGCCCCTGCAACATCTCCCTCAACCCCCCCTCGTTGCTCCGCTTCTCTCTCTCCCCCCAACTCTTCCTGCACTCCCTCCAACCTCCCTGCACCCCTCTCCACCATAACAAACCCATCCTCCTCCCCTTCCTCCTCGATCTCCTCGTCTTCTTCATCCTCCTCTTCCTCCTCCTCCACTCTCTCACTCTCACTCGAATCTCGCCCGCCCACTCCCCCTTCTCGCCCAAGTCTTGAATCGGACCCAGAGCTCGTGCCTGCTGTGGCCCGGCTACTGCCTTGCATTTGTGTGCTGTTATTCCCGCTGCTGTTGTTGCCACTGCTGTGGTTGCCGCTGCTGTTGTTCGTGTTTCCACTGTTGCTTGGCTGGCTCTTCCTCCCCTCGTTATTGTCACTGCTGCTGACAGGCCGCTGTGCTGCTTCACTCGGGCGGCGAGCCGTGGCGGCGTCTGCAGGGTTCCCTTCGCTATTGTCACTTCCACTACCCTTTCCTCTGTCATCGCCTCCTGTTTGCATCCCCCCATTCCGCTTCTCCGTCCCACTACCCTCACCACTCCTGTTCTCCCCTTCTCCACTGCCCTCTTTACTTCCCTCCTTACTGCCCTCCCCACTCCCCTGCCTCCCTTCCCCTCGCCCTGTACCCATATTCCCCATTACCCCCCCAAATGCACCCTCCCCCTGCCCTCTCCTCGCACCCCCACTCCCTTTCCTCTCAAAGTACCTTCTTATTCCTCCTCTCCCTCCCCCGCCTCCCCCACCACCCCCTCTCCCTCCTCCACTCCCCCTCGGCACCACGCCTCCCCCATCAACAATCATCCCCTCGTTCCCCCCTCCTCTCCTCTCCTCTCCCGCACGCCCCTCCCCCAAACTCCTCCCCCCCTCCTCCCCACCGCTCCCCCTCCCTTCCCCCTCACTCCCACTCCCCCCTCTCTCCCCTCTCCTAAACCCCGACATAGCCCCCGCCGCCCCCCCCTCCCCACTCAAAAACTCCCTCGACAGGGACATTTGCGCAGTACCCTCCAAAAACACCGGGCTATTACTGTCATTACTCGCGAGAATGGACCCGCCGGCGAACCCCCTGGCAGAGGCATGGTCTAGGAACCCACAGAAGGCCTTGTTGGTCTCCCTGAGGAGGTAGGAGCTGCGGAACTGGCGGTCTGCTGCGTGGGAGAGGGCGTCCATGGCCACTATCCGCGTCTGGCGGCGGCCTAGGGAATCCCGCGGGGCTGTGTCGATGAAATCTCCGGCGAATTTGAAGCTTGCTGCGTAGCTGAGAGGGCGGAGGTGGGAAGAGGGGGGGAGAGGGGGGGAGAGGGGGGAAGAGGGGGGGGGTGAGGTGGGAGATGGGTAGGGAGGGGGAACAGGGAGAAGGAGGACTGAGTCATCTGCTGTATCTGAGGAGGCCTAGGGAATCCCGACGGGCTGTGTCGATGAAATCTCCGGCGAACTTGAAGGTTGCTGCGGGGGAGTCACCACTCGCTCTAGGTGCTGACCCACCCACTGCACCTACTGATTCATCCATTGTGTTTGCTGACTCAACTTGTCAAACTGGTGACTCACCCAGTGTATTTGCTGACTCACCCAGTGTATTTGCTGAACCGCTCGGGCCCCACGATCTCAATCGTCTCGTTGTTCTCCATGGCGGGCAGAAAAAGCATTCCCACGATGAGCTCCGGGCAGATGACGAAACGAATCTCCTCCTGCACGCACCCCGAGCCGAGCGTGCCGCCGCCCAGAAAAGCATTGGCGAAGTCCACTTGCAGACAGCCCGTGCCGTCGTCCTCTATTGTACCGCGCTCATGCACCTGGTGGTGGTGGGGGAGTGGATGTGAAAGGGAGAGGTAACAAAAGGAGGAGGGGCGGGGGCTTGTGAGGGTGTGAAGTGAGAGCATGGCATGAAAGGCATTTGTGAAGTCGACCTGCAGACAGCCCGTGCCGTCGGCCTCTATTGTGCCGCGCTCATGCACCTGGTGGTGGTGGGGGGAGGGAGGAAAGGAATGGGAGGGAGGAACGGGTGGAGAAAGGTTGGAGGGGAAGAGTGGTGCATCAATTGACAGGTGTGAAATGATTGGAAGCACTTTACAGATGCCCCTGTTTTTCCCTCCCAGCTATGCATCCTCACTTCGCACTCACCACCAGGGCGCAGAGCGGAATCCGCCTTGTCCCCCAGAAGTCCGCGCCAGGGGGAGGGGGAAGCGTCCCCCAGCTCCCCCCAAAGCTCCTGCTGCCTCCCCCACTCCGCAACTGCCCCTCTCCTCCCTCACCCTCCTTCCACCACGACCCTGCTAGGCTCGGATCCGAGCCTGTTGTCGGACCTGAGCTTCGGTTGGAGCTGCTTTTCTGCATGGGCGAACTTCGGGAACCACTGTGGTAACCGCTGCCGTAACCATTCCCGTTACCGTTGCCACCGCCGTTACCACTGCCCTTACTGCCGCCACTACCATTACCGCGCCGCCCACCCTGCCCACCACTCCCGCCGCTTCCGGGCGGCGAACTACCACCGCCTTGTCTTATGTGTCCACTTCCCCGCCCTCCACCCTCCCCTGCCTCCCCACCCCAACCAAAAACATCCTGCTGCTGCTGCTTAAGGTGGCCTGGTGTGTCAGTGCCCGGGGCATTAAACGGGTGGAGGGCGGGCGGGGCGGCAGCAGTGGGTGTGACTGTGGCGGGTGTGACAGCAGTGAGGGGCAGCACCTTGCGCTCGTAGGAGACGGCGCCCTGAGGCATGGAGGAGACGACTCGGCGGAAGTAGTGCAGTAGGCAGCGCAGCTTCTCCTGCTGCTGCGGCGACCCTTCGTATATGCCCCTGGGTGAGCGCGACAGATGAGGGGTTGGGCATGGGTAGAGCGGAGAGTAAGAGCGGTGAGAAGGGCGAGAGGGGCGGAAGCGCGTCACGAAAGGCGTGAGGGGCATGAGGGACGAGACGGACGAAAGGGGACACACGGGCGAGGGCAGACACAATAAACTTCTCGTTGAGAACGCAACAACAAGGCACGCTGCATGCCCCATACAGACTCACCCATCGGCCCACCATATCCACACATCCCCTCATCCCCCCTTTCCCGCCCGCTCCACCTCCCCCCCAGCGACTCACCCATAGAGGCGGTCGAAGTTGATCTCGGGTAGTCTCTCCTGTGCGCGCCCAGCCGTCGGATACACGCAGAAGAACGCTCCCACCAATAGCGCCGCTGCAAGCTCCTGCGTTATAAGCACAAGCCCCGGCTGCTGCGGCCTCAGCAGCTGCAGCGTCATCTGCGTCCCCCTCCGCCACTTCTCGCTCCCCCCGCTCCCGCTTCCGCTCCCGCTTCCGCCGCTTCCGCTGCCCCCGCTGCTGCCGGATTGCGCTGCGGCTTGGGCTGCCCGAGCCACGCTCCGAGCCTGCTGCGAGACGAGCCTCGGGAGACGGAGAGCGAGGGAGGCCATTCCGGGCAGCGTGAAGAAAAAAAACTCCTGAGATTCCTCCTCGGAGAGAATCTGCAGGTACGTTTGGGGCGAGAGGGGGAAAGGCGACAGAGAGGAGAGGGATGAGAATAGTGTCGTTCGAGCAGCGAGGGTTCACTATTTCATGCTTCAAGGGACGTTGGCAAATGCGCATTTCCACATTCCTGATTCGACTTGAAAACACCCGCGTACCAGACGAGGTTGCTGAACTCACCTCGTCGAAGAATTCAGCGAGGCCTTTCGCGAGCCGCGGGTTACCATCGCTGAGACTCAGCTCCCTGCGAATGTCGATTATCGCGTCCGCTAACGTCTCGCCACTCGCCACCTGCCACGTGGGCAGGAAAACACCGAAGATGTGGAACACGCGCGTGAGAGCACGCGTGAAATACAGCAGGAAACTGAACTCTGAATACAGTATTCTGAAGACGTTGAAACAAAAGTGAAGCTGATGCTGCTTCCAACAAGCGCACCTGACTAGCGGCGGGACCACGCGCAATGGCGGCGAACGCGTGAGCCACGGTCCCGGGCCACGCGTACTCTCTCCGCGTGCTGCTCACGCTCGCACTGTTGTTATTGTTGTTGTTCGTCTGATTGTTGTTATCCTTCGCCGGCTGGTTACTGCTGTCAATCACCCCCGTCGCGTACAGCCGCGACGCTGCTGTGTTCGCCGCATCGGTGTTAAGCCCCGCCGGGCCGGCACCGCTGAAGCCGTAGCTCGTGCCGGCGCCGGCTACACCGCCGGCAGCTACGCCGGTTGTAACGCCGGCTTCGCGGCTCCCGCCGAATCCCGCGTCGGACGGTAGCGTGCTCAGGCTCGGCGCGGGGCCGAAGGGGAGGAAATACGAGAGGTCTCTCTTTTCAGGAAACATGGCGGAATGCGTAGCTATTGAAGGGAAGGCTTTATACTGGACAGATTTGAAAAGCTTGTGACGGCGAGCTTCATCGAGAAAACCAATGGAGGTTACGACGGAAAGACGTATTATGGGGTGTGATGAGAGAGTTGAAAATTGGAAACCCAGCGGACGCTTCGTTTTGAAACGTCCTTGATAAATTGGAGAGCGATCAGTGTCGGAAGAACGACTATGTGCAGAGATTATTAACTACACTATGATCAGCCGAAATCAAGAAGAATATTCGTCAAGGCAGGCAATTTACAGTTTGACGCCTTTTGCATCGATCAATCGACAACAAGCGTACTAGCAAAGGCTGCTAACAAGAGAGCCAAGTTAATGTGAGTCGAAGACAAGACAGGTTCATCCAGGTTTGTCTACAGACCATGTAGGAAACCCTCATTGGAACCTCGAAAACGCTGATGTGCTGCTGTGGGGAGCAGACCGTTTGATGTGGGCTCTTGGGAACGTCTTGAAGATCAGAAAGAAACCAGATCCCTGAAGAGGTGGGAGTGAGGGGAGGTGGATAGAAAGCGATGAGGAGGGAAGAAAAAGGTAAAGAAAGTGGATGTGCGGATTGGTGGTTATGGTTCATAAAGGAATCTCAACAGCTGTGCACCAATCGCGGACAATGCGGGCGGTAAGAAAAAGGTGATCCAGGTCACGTGAAAGTATCGGATGAGAGATCTACGCCGGCGTGTCAAGAAAGTGAAAAAGTGCAATGAAAAGCGCATCTGTTTGGCCCCAACCATGAGATATTTCCGACGTGTGCCACGTCACCTGTCGGCCATTTTCCGCGTCCCGTAGCAAACAGCGGGGCGCAGTTGGGCATCTGAAATATTTATCTTCATGTACTCGGAATGAAGTTCCTCGTAATGTTTACACGTCGATGGTGTCGTTGCATCCATGTCCATCTTCTATATCAGGATGTGCCGTTTCTCACTAGTTTTTGTACAGCTATTCCTCCTAATGTACTCATATAATATGTCAGTTACGTTACATTATTGCGGATGTCAGGTTCGTTAGTGTCACCTCGCTGGTGGTCGGTCGGTGCGGAACACACATGTGTCGGAATTCAGTGACTGGTCGAAGCGATGCGCACAAGGTGTCACAGAAAGCGTTCGCAAGGCTCAAGGGGGACTGTACTAGACCAGCTCGGTCGCGGAAGCGGGGATTGCCGTGACTGCGCACGGCACCGCTCAGCGGCTCCCTTTTTCCAACAAGGGGAACAAAATACCAGCACTTTGGCGGAAGAAGGAACAGCTTTTGCGCGGCGATGCTGCGCGGAATCTGCAAAAGTCGCAGCCGACATTGGTGAAGCTCGGCGGACGATTACAGGCAAAAACATTTCAGGCCCAGCCCGCGCGGAAACATCTGCAGAATCGCCTCTCTTCCGCCGTCGTTCAGTTAACGCACTTTGTGAAATGAGCGGAAAGTACGGGTTTGCGGGAGCGTGGCGGAAACTTGTGGGTGAATCTTCTCGGCATTCTCTAGGACAGTTGTTGGTCCTTCTGCCAGGGAGATGACGCCCTGTAAACAGCTCAAGGTGACTACCCATAATGCTGGGACTGACGTGACGTGAGCTATTGGGTAGCTTGAGCTTTTGGTCTAACGGCGATTGGTTCTGTCCCTAACTTCAGTTCCTTTCGTCTCTCTTGACCGCTTGTTGGCGGAAGCACTTGCTGTACTCGCCGCTCCTCCTACTTCTAGAACAGCCTTAAATATATCGATTACCGCGTAGTTAACCATCCGCTTACCGTCCGCTTCATTCTCTTAGAACCAATTGCCTGGATTATCTCGCAATGAGTCGCATAGTAGGTCGCGGAGGCTCAGATCCCTACTCGAGCGACGTCGAGATGCCGTCGTCTACGAGCCTTCGTTCCTCCTCCTCTCTCTCCTCCACTCCCTCCGCTCCCCTCGCTCACTCGCGCTCCGGCGAATACCCCTACGCTCCTACTCATCACGCCGTCGTCTCATCTCATAACGAGTACGCTGACGACAATCCGTATCAAGGGGGCCAGTTTCACTCGTACGCTTCTGGCAGTACGATCGCACCGTACGCGTACCCGCCTCCTCCTCCGCCTGAATACCCTTCCGGTGTCAACCCAGCGGCGTACCCGCCTGTTATTCCACCTTCAAACCCGCGGGATCCCGCGCGAAAACCGCGGTGGTATAGGAAAGTGCCGTGGTTGGCGATTACCGTATTAATCGCCTGCATATTAGTCTTTATTGTGACCATGGCGGTGAACGATTGCCCGTCGAAGCCGCACCCGCAAGGCCAGAGCTGCGTGCTGCCTTGGCTAGGTCGATTCTCCTTCGAGCCGCTCAATATCAACCCTCTCTTCGGTCCAACCGCCTTAACGTAAGCGGCCTGTGCCCTTTATACCCTTTGTCGGTGTAAGTTGATTTATACGCATTTATCGCATCTATCTCGGTCTACACATGCATTTATCGCGTATCCAGCTGTATGTGTGACTCCCTGTCGTCGTTGCAACCCTCCAGGCTTCGCGACATGCGCGCTCAAGAATAACCTGGTTACCAACACTTTTTCGCCTAGAACATGTCGTTCTATTATCCATATATGTCGGCGACCTCCACCACCCCCGCCCCCCAACAACCCCCCCTCTCCTTCCTCTCTCCTCCCTCCCCGCCCTCCCCTCCCTCCCCCCTGTTCTCCCTTCGTTTCTCGCAACCCTGCAGGCTTCAGGAGATGGGCGCGCTGAACAGTAACCTGGTTACCAACTACCACCAGGGCTGGCGGCTGGTAACGGCGATGTGGTTACACGGCGGCGTGGTGCATCTCGTGTGTAACCTCCTCGGCATCGCCTTCCTGCTCAACCGCCTCGAGAAGGAGTTCGGCCTGTGTACGTGCGTGGTGCTGTGCAGTGACGCTGTGTGGTGTGGTGTGGTGTGGTGTGAGGCGGGATCGGTGGGGCCTGAGGGAATGAGGGAAAAGCGGATGGAATGAAGTTGTGTGGTTTAGGGAGGGGCGAGGGGAGAGGTGGGATCAACGGGTGAGGAGGAAATTGAAGGATCTGGTGTGCACGTATGCGTGTGGTCGGGAGGAGGGATAGACTCAGGCCACCACCACCACCAACACCACCACATGTGATTCTTAATTCAACATGCTGCCCACTCTGTGCCCCTTTGCATGTGTGCTGTGCTCCCTCTGCTGTCCCCTACGTGCGTTCTCCTCTCCTGTGCTTTTCCCTTGCCAGGGCGTCCCACGGCCATCTACCTTCTCAGTGGCGTCTTTGCTGCCGTCTTCTCCTGCCTCTTCCTCGACACACAGGTATGCCTACGCCCAAGCCCAGCTGCTAGTGCTCTGAAATTCTCGAATTTTGAGAGATATACCAAAACTCTGCAGTGCAGGTTCCCCGCTATGCGCCCCTTTCCTCCCTGCGTGCGTCACGAGTCATCTTGCTCCGACAAGCGATGCCAGCGAAGTTTCATGTCAAATTCAGAGAATGTGCGTTTGGATCATTCACCCTCGTTATGTTTTCCTCCCCCCTCCCCCACCCCACCCCACCTCCTACCCACCCACCCAACCTCACCCCCTTCTGAACGCCCCGATTTTACCCGGAATCGACATTGATTCCCCGCCGTCAGATCAGCGTGGGTGCATCTGGAGCGTTGTTTGGGCTGGTGGGTGCGTGCCTGTCGGAACTACTGATCAACTGGAAGCTCTACGACAACAGGGTACGGCCTTGGGTGCTTGATGGGGTTGATGGCTGGTTATTTCTGTTGACTCAGGATTTACCTCTGCTTGGGCTGTGGGTGCGTGCCTGATGGATTTGCCGATAAACTGGAAGCTTTACGACAACAGGATATGGCCTCGGATGCTCGCTTGCCTTGCATGGGTTGATGAGAGGGGGGGATCAGTTGTATCTTTTCAGTTCAGTCTTTTGAAACCCCTTTTTCTGGTTCCCTTCGCCAGATTCCCCTCTCCCATCCCCGCTGCATTACTCACTCGCGCTCTCCCTTAAATCACGTCTTTCACCCCACACCCCCCTTCTCCAGACCCTCTTTCGCTCCTTGCAGTTCTCAGCCCTGATGGCGCTCCTAATCCTCATAGCCATCAACCTAGCCATCGGCCTCGCCTCACGCCATACATCGACAACTTTGCCCACATAGGCGGCTGCAGCACCCATTTCACGTACCTCTTTCTTGCCTTTCCGGATCCTCACACTTCGAGACGCCTCACATCTCCCTTCTTCCCCCGCCCCCCCACCTCTCCGCCCCTCCTCTCCTCCCTCTCCCCCCTTTCTCTCCCCCCCAGTTCTCAGCCCTGATGACGCTAATCATCCTCATAGCAATCAATCTAGCCATCGGTCTCATGCCATACATCGACAACTTCGCCCACATAGGCGGCTGCATCGCCGGCTTCTTCCTCGGCTTTGCTCTCCTGCTCAAACCCCAGCACGGCTTCATCGACCTGCGAGACAGCTCCGGCGTGGCGACGGCCACGGCGATTGCTGTTTCTGGGGGTGATCCCGTGACTAAGAAGCACTCTACCTGCCAGGTCTACACGTGGATTCTCTCAGGAATAATCTTCATGGCGCTGTAAGCCCCACGCCCTGGTTTGACTCATCTGTGCGTTTCAAGGTTGACCACTCCACCTACCAGGTCTTCACGCGGGTTCTCTCGGGAATAGTCTTCATGGCCGTGTAAGTGCACTGTGCCGCACGCACCACTGCCCTTCCGCAATTCCCACCAGCTTCTCACTCTGCATGGCGGTGCTATTCACCTAGGGCAACGTGGCTGCTGACCCTGACCCTCCTATGGGTAATGCTTCTCTTGCTCCCATGCTTAGCGTCCATACTCTTCATTTCCTCTTCCCTCCCCCACCAGCTTCTCACTCTGCATGGCGGTGCTATTCACCAAGGGCAATGTGGCATCAGACTGCACGTGGTGTCGCTACATGTCGTGTGTGCCCACTCCTTGGTGGACCTGCGACCCCAATGCCCCAGGCACACAGGGCCAAGGACCCGTTTGCCAGGTCAGCTTCCACTCTCATCCTTGCCTGGCATTGCTCCTTCTCTTGTTCCTTTCCTGCTTGCGATGCCCGATGTTGCTGGTCTGCATTGTATGAGTTTTACTCTCTTTTATTAACTTCTGGTGGTGATTTTTTTTCGCTTCTGCAGGTCCGGTCGTATCAAAATGGCACTGGTGCACTGGTGTGTACGAATCAGACAATGCTTGCCGTACCAAACATCACATCAATGGCCAATTATGACCTGCGGGTGCTATGCACACAAGCGTGCAGCAGCTGAGGCCCTGGTAGAAGACAGCCCTTTTGCAGTATCCTGTATTGTAAGGATTCTGTTTATATTATGTTTTTTTCATGTAAGCTGTAACCTTTGCTATTCCGGCTTTTGTTGAGCATTTCTATTTTTTGTGTCAATGCGCTTCTGCGCTAAGGGTTTACCAAACTGAACACAGGTCTCGATACTCGAAACAATAACGAATCGCTTTACCGAGTGGGACCCTTGGGATTATCCTGAGCATTCTCAAGAAGGATGGTCTCGCAGTTTCTCAATGAATGCCTCCGCGTAATCAGGGTAGTCTCCTCAGGGTAGTCTTTTCAGGGTAGTCTCCTCGGCTCCTGTGTCGCCAAGCTTTTCAACACGGGACAGGATAAGACGGCCGACACCCTCTATCATTGTCGCGCGAGGACTTATTCGCATGGTTTAGACTGAACACTGACGGCTCATTCGTTCGCGTCTACCTAGGTCGCATCTCGTGCTCTCCTGCATCAGATTGTTAGATGGGCTTTTGCTTCAAGGCTCAACGGGAATCACGAATTGTAGCTAAACGTTCTAGCTTGTACTGTGCTGCTACGGCGTGATGGCCAGTAGTTTCGTTGGCACTACCCTCTCTAACTGACGGTTTCAGGTCTTCCGCTAAGTTCGTATGGCGTGATGGCCGGCAGTTTTGCAGGCGCCATGAAGCAGCGTCGAGGGTCGAACGAGCTCTTGCAGCAGCGCCGCCGGAGGCAGAGCGGAAAGAAGCACGCGCACCTGCGCGACAATCTCCCCCTCTTCGCGCTCTTTCTCTGCGCCGTCGCCCTGCGCCTGCTGCTTCTGGCGCGAGAATTCCTCGCTGCGCACGAGTTTCCGCGTTCCGGGGAGAGTTTTTCCGGCTGGTGGCCTTTTTGGAGTGGTTTCGCTAGCGGAGCTGCTCATAACGAATTTGGGAATGCAAGTGCAAGCTCTCTTTGCTCGGCATCGAATACTGACGACTTCGAAGCGTCAGATGTGCATACTTATGGAGTCTGGTCTGAGAGCAGACGTGCGTGTTCCAGGATTCGAACCGACGACCTTTCATTCTCCAACATTCACCTGCACAATGTGGCAATTCAAGGCACCGAGATTCACTTTTACGGCATCAATGAGGCTCGGTGGCGTTTGAACCTGGAGCGCAGGCTTGTGCCGTACCGACATTTAGTGGAATGGGGAGAGAAGCAAAGCCCTAACTGGACATTAGTGTTCCACAACAGCACACTGGACGTTAAACGGAGCTGCCAGCAGCGGGTTGATGCTCCCACTGGTGAGTTCAAAGCGGCCCTACCAAAACAGCTTGTAAGCATGCTCCCATTCCTCCCCTGCTCCCCACCCCTCTGTCCCTCCGTGCTTCTCGCTCGCCTGTAAGGCACCCCTGTCTCCTTTCCCTCGTGACCGCTACCTACTGCTATTAGCTTCACCTTCCCATGTTTCCCTGCCTGCATCTTCACCTCCCTCCCTCACTTCCCGTCCTCTTCATCCCCCCCACGCGGCCCAGAGCAGTGGTGGTGAGTCTGTGGCACGTGGACAACGCCTTTCACGCGCTCAACAACAACCTGCTCCCAGCACTGCTGCACCTCCTGGAGATGGGGGCGCTTCCTGGCATGCCAGTACCGGCAGGCGCTGCTGCTGCCTCTGACCGCCTGAGTTCAGCTGGTGATGGCAGTGGCGCCAGAGGGAGTGTTAGTCGGAACAACAGCAGCAGTGGCAGCAGCAGCAGCAGTGGCAGCAGCAGTGGCAGTGGCAGTAGTGATGGTGCCAGTGGCAGTGTGCGGAGCAGAAAGGGTCTGATTGGCTGGCACGGGTCGTCTTCGCTTGGCTCGTCCACTAATCGCTTCTTACAGCGCGTGCAAGAGAGACTAGTGGAAACCATGGAAAGACACACAAGTAGCGGAGCAGGCCGGGAGAGATTGCATGCAGGTGGCAGCGTAGGGGCGTTTCATTCAGTGGGGCCTGATAGGGGAGTCAGCGGATTGGGTTTACTGGAGGGGAGGGAAGGGGCGGAATGGGGGCAGGACGAGGGGGAAGGGCTGCGTGTGTGCATGCTGTTCTACCTTGGGGATGAGAGGCTCAACCAGTATCCCACATCAGCCGTGGCGATTCTATGGAGATTATTCCAATGCAGGATTCGGCTGAGCGATACGCAAGGGTTGAGTCGGCGAATCTGCTTCCGCCACCTGGCATACGGCCAGCGTGCAGCCTTCCCTTTTTACAACAGCTCCTCCTCTCTCCCTGGCTTTGATAAGTTCCCCGCTGTCATTGCAGCCTATCGCTCCTTCGCCTTCTCCCTCTTCAACACTTTTCCAGCTTCTCAAGCTGTGGGTTCGGGGCCTTTCAGCCAATCAGAAGCTAGCGATGGTGCCCCAAGAAGGACCTTGGAGCTTCCGGCTGTTGGGCCGTTGACGGCCGAGAGTGGCAGCTTGGCGGTTCAAGGGCCAAATTCGGAGTCAGCGGGGGTAAAGGGACGAGGAGCAGCGAGCCCTGGACGAGTGGATGGGAGTTCAGGCAGTGATGAATCATCAGCGGTGGCAGATGTAGGGGGGCTCGGTGGACCACACATGTCGGACCTGCAGCGGCGGCGGCAGCAGCAGCAGCAGCAGCAACAGCAGCAGCAGCATGCCGCTCTGCCTGTCCCAGGCATATACTCCAACGGCCCGATCGTGATCTACGTCCCCCGGAGCTCAGCTTTCGGCGACGATCGTTACGTTACGTTCATCGATCCATGGGTCGAGGCCATGGGTCGGAATGGCTTTCATTGTGTCGTGCCCTGCTGTGACTTCGCACACGAGCCGATTGAGAAACACTTGGCCCTTTTCTCCGCGGCCCATATAATGGTGGGTTTGCATGGAGCAGGGCTCACAAACGCCTTATACATGTCGCCAGGACGGCTTTTAGTGGAGTGGCAGGATGTTTTTGCCTTGAGCACTGGGGGTAAGGATCGGGAGCTGTTGTTTCACTGGGTGGCCAAGCATTCAGGTTTAAGGTATATGGTTGAAGATGTGAGGCCACTTCATGTGACTGGGCACGGCATTGCGATGAATAGAGAATGGGCGACTCGTTCTGCTGCACGTATTGCAGAAGAATGGCGTACTCAGATGTTGGATACATGAGGCGTAGAATTGTTGTTGCTGTTTGTCGATATCACTCTATGCTTGGTTGCAAATCTGAAGGCAACCTGCACTGTTGTGCCTTCACCAAAACGTTTTCAGGCAGAAAGAAAAAACAACGACGAATCTTGAAGAACTAAGGTTTATGTGCTGCATCAATTTTCTTACCAGACTACCCACCCTTCAGCATTGTTATGCTCACTCAACCCTAGACTGTGCATTACTTCTGTTTTGGCTTCTCCTTTCCAGTCGTTTCTCTGTGCAAGTAAGCTATTGTTTCCATACAGCGTATGGAAATTAGATACAATAGAATCGCAAACTTCAACGCACCGTATCTTCACGGCTCGCTAACGTATCCTTCATGGCGCTGCTGGCTGTGCTGTTTCTGTCGTCTCGTGTTCCAAGTATTTCGCCTTCTGCCCGCACCCCAAATATTCGGTGTTTTGGTGACGTGAAATTCCATCATTCCTCCCACAACCGTAATGTTCTGCTTTATTCCTCCAGCTCGCCTCCGAAAAGCACGTGTTGAAAGGGATAATTTCTGCGATGCTGACAGGCTGTAGAATCAAATTCGATTCTCCGCTTTCTTATTGGTGAAATTTGCTGAGGCAGGGGATCACATCATGAACAGTGGAGGATGTCCAACAATGGGATGAGAGCCTTACAATTGCGTCCAATGGAGTAAGCCGTAAACTAGCTTCTTGTTTGCCAGCAAGGTGCATTGCTGGAAGGCGATCGAGTCCCTCGGCCACATAAAAAGTGGATATGGTTCCGCCTGGTGTTTCTTCTTTCTGCCCCCAAGCTACGTATGGATGGATGCCGTTGCTGAGCTGACATCGTACGCTTCATCTCCCTCGCAACAATCACGAAAAACCTTGTCGGTGTAGCCGAGCCCGCCGAAGATATCTTCTGACAAAAGGCGAGGCGAATGCTGTGCGCGTTTCACCCATGGGTTTGCCCAGCGCACAAATCCCGCACTGAAGTGCTGACCATCGAAATTACACTGCACCGCCAAGGGACCATGCTGTCATGGCCACAGGCTAGGTTCGGTTGCGGGCGGGTGCTTACTGACTGGTTGGCTGGCTAGATGCTGTTCCCCTGCCCTCCTCCTAGGGTTTCATGCAAGCTCCCGCAGCTCTGGCATTCCCCGCGCTTTACCCCCATGTTCCGCCAAGTCCGCCTTTCCTCAACCCCTTCCCTCCCATACCCCTTCCCCCAATCTTTTGTTTCCCCCCTGCTCCGCGCACGGAGTTTTTTCCAACCAACGCTCTGCGCGATCTCACTCCCATCCCATCCCCCCTCCAACTGCTGCTGCTCCCTGCCCTTCCCTTCCCCACAAGCCCACTCTCGACTGCTGACCTATCCAACCAACGTCTCCTCTTCTCCCAAACTCTTCTTCTGAATGACCAACACAGTAACGACGGTTCCCCCCATTCTCCAGCATTAGACCAGCCTCGTCAGCTTTCTCATTCAAGAATCCTTGTTTGTTTGTGTTGAATCGATAGGGAGGCACCTAAGAGTAAAGCATCTGGAATAGCTCGCTTGTGTCCATGGTAAATTTTAGTTTTTGCTGACTACGCTTCGTGAATACCTGCAGTCATGTTTCAAGCACACTGCAGTAGCGGCAGCGGCGGCAGTCGCGCAGGGATTTGGATTTCCGGACACGATTCGTTCAAATCCTCGTCTCAGTCCGCCTCGCCCCTGCATAGAACAAACCCTGCCGGATTCGACTGGGAAAATTTCTGGCGTGATTCTCGGCATCCTCTAGGTTACCAGCCGTGCGCGGCTGAAGCGTTTCGCGCTAGGTCACAGTCGCCAGCCGACGATGAAAACACCGTCGCAGACGTCGCTAGGCCCGTATGTGCGTATCAAGGCTCTGGGACGATTCTCTGGAGCGCTTTCGCGAATGTCGCTAAAGGTTGCGAACCCGAAAAGGAGACGCAGCGTGACGCGACGATAGGAGTCGTGCGCGAGCGAGAAGGGGTCGTCCCTTGCGACGCTAGCCGTGATAGTAAGGAGCGGGTCGCCTTATCGCGACACCCCTCTGAGCCGGCCGCTGACGATATGTTTTCCGTACGCGGGAAGACTCTCGGGTGCGGTTTTGACGAGACTTACCTGACAGCAGTACAGAAGAAGTGTTTAGCTGCTGGCGACGAGCATGACTCGTTGTTCGATAAGACTAGGGATTTCGCATCGTTTCTCGGAGGAGGTGTGAAGTCACCCGGTGTTAGGGTGCGGTCCGGGGGAGTGAGAGTGCTAGTCGGAGGCGGAGATGACGTGGCAGTGGCGGTAGCGGGGGAAGTGGAGGGGGAAGCGGAGGCGGAGTTGTTCCCATGCGGGCCTGAGCATGCGAGCATTGGGGGGCTTGCGGGTCGAAGCGCGAGCCAGCGACGAGAATCTGGTGGTAACAATGGCGCCTGGCGAAACGGAGTTGATGCTTCGCATCGGGATGAGATGTGGGCCGACATGCTCTTGCAGGAACTTGAACAAGCCTCTGCCAACCAGCCGGTTACTTTGTCGGTCGGCGGCAAGTCAAACGGCGAGAGCGCGACGCGTCGTCAATCGACGGAAGCTGCGTCTCGAGAAGCACAGTCTCCGACGCGCGGCGGCCCTCGATCTTTAGGGCTGGGAGAAAGCATCAGCGGAAGCGGGCGGAAGAGAGAGCAGGCGGAGCGGAGTCCGCTTGACGGCTTGCAGTTGGGGGCCGGGGGAGGAGGTTGCGGCGGTCAGGGCTTTTCGTTTTCCCCTGTCGGCAATCCCGAGGGTCATCAGAAGCGGCAGGAGACTAACCCTGGGGGATGCGCGGATGGAGTTACTGTACGCAATGTGACTATAGGCGTGGGAAGTCGTGGAGACGGTCAGTACGACGGGAGGAGTTCACTCGGAGGGGGAGATGCGAGGGGTGTGATTGAAGCGAGACCGCTAGGATTCGTGCGGGAGGAGAAGGAGAAGGAATCGTCGAAGGGCGATGAGCGCGAGAGTGAGCGGGAGGGCGACGAGGCGGCACGGGACGGGATTGATGGCGGAAGAAGGGGAGGATGGGAGGGGTGGAAGAAGATGGTGGGGGCAGGAGAAGAGATTTGCGCGCACGTTGAGCAGCAGCAGCCGCATCGGGATTTTGAGACGTCTCAGAACGACAAACAGCAGCAGCAGCAGCAGCCGCCGCCATCGCAGAACGCATTTGGCGGCAACGCGCATCATCGGCCTGTGGAGTATCGAGTCACGGCGTGCGAGGAGGGGCGCCGCCCCCCCGCGTGGAAGCCGGCGGGTTCCGCGGGGCACTTAAAGCCCGACGACGACCTCACTCTTAAAGCGTTCCTCAAGGGCGGCAAAAGGCGCCACGGGGGGAGTGCGGTGCGCGGCGCGCAGACGTGGCAGGCGGACAAGATTGCGGACGCGTGGCGGGTGGCGGAGGGGCTTGCGGAGATGGAGCGCGTGCGGCGGGAGCAGGCGGAACGGGGCGCGCATCCCCCTTCCGGTTCTGCAAATGCCCCCCGCGTTATCACTACTGCGACGGCTGTAACCGCCACGTCGGCAGCGGCTGCCGCCATTCAGCGTTTTCCTGCTGCGGACGGCCCCGCCGCCGACTTCTCCCCTTACGCCAGTGGAGGCGCCGCCGTGAAGGGCAATGGCGCGCCGGGGGGTGGGATCGCGCGGAGCGACAGCGCGCGGAAGGGCAAAGCGGCGGTTGCGGACGAGCCTTGCGGGTTTGACCGGTGCGCCAGCAGCGATTGTACGGGCGGATCGTCGCAGGGGGAGAGCTCAAGGTCGCGCGGAGGGGGAAGGGCGCGCGGGGAGGGGAAGAGGCGGAAGGGTTCGCGGCTTTCGGGCGGAGGGGAGCGGAAGGGGAAGGTGAAGGCTGCTGGTGCTGCTGCAGGCGATGCCGCTATTGGCGCTGACGTTACCGCTACGATCGATTTGAGCACGGGGGGAAAGGCGTCCGCACAAGGCGCTAAAAGCGGAGGGGGAAGGGAGAAGCGCGGAGTAGACGCGCGCGCTGACGTGGCAGGGAAGGTCGCGGCGCAGCAGAGCGAGAAGGCGAAGCAGATGGAACGGAACCTCAAGGTAGCTTCCGCGCAGCTTCTCACCCTGCAGAAATGGGACGAGGGATCAAGAGACCTAGCGGTGCGGTGGGCCGTGTGGCTTCTAAGGCTCATCCGCAAATCCGCCCCCACTCCTCCCCCGCCCTCCATCCGCCTCCTCCTCTTCTCCTCTATCCTCATGACTCTCCCGCGGATAGCCGACACTCTCCTCCCCCTCACCTCCCTCCCCGGCCTCGCCTGCTCCCCAGCGTCAGCCTCGGCAGGAGGCTCGGTAAAAGGCTCGGCGGGAGGTTCGGTGGCCGAGGCGGTGAGGCAGATGCTGCGGAGCGTGTGTGCGCTGGTGGGGGCGGTGGGGAGGAGTCAGGTGTGCTTCTCCCCCCTGCACTGGGAGATTCTACAGGAGCCGTTGGATCGGTGCAGATCGCTCCATGCTTCTGTCTCCAGAGCTACTGCTTATGCCAAGCCCACGCCCACCACTGCCGCTGCTGCCACTGCTGCTGCTGCGACGGCGGCGGCAGCGGCAACTGCTACAGCTGTGAAACCTGCTGCTGCTATTGATGTTTCCACTGCTCCTGCAGCCGCTACAGCTCCTGCGGTGGCAGCAGCAGCAGAAGTTGCTGGCGCCATGGCTCCTGTGGCTGTGCAGCAGAGTGCCAAGCAGGGGCTCAAGAGGGGCCGGAGTGACACCTGCACTCATGTCCCCGTTGACTCTTCTCCTCCGGTTGCTGCTGCTGCTGCTGCTGCTTGCGGTGGCAATGCTGCCGCGGCTACTGATGCTGCTGCCTCGACGACTGGCGCTGCTGTCATCGCTGCGCCAATCACAGCAGCAGGCGCGGACACAGCAGTGAGAGAGCCTGCAAAGCGCGCCAAGGGGGATCACCTGGCGGCCAGGCAAAAGGCAGCCGTGGCAGCGCCTCAGGGTCCCTGTGCAGCGGCAGGTGGAGCGCCTGAACCAGCGGGCGCAGCCATTCCTGCAGCAGCAGTACAGCCAGAAGCAGCAACAGCTGTGCCACCGCCAGTGGCAGCAGCAGCAGTACCTGCAGCAGCAACAGCAGCAAGGGTTGAGGTTGCGAGCCCGCGTGTGCAGTCGTCTCCATCGTTCCGCAAGGGACTGTTGAGCTTCAAGTCGTGGGCTGCAAAGAAATCACAAAGAGCAGAGGAGCAAAGGGAAACTCATGCATCCGCTGCTCCTGCTCCTGCTCCTGCTCCTGCTCCTGCTCCTGCTCCTGCTCCTGTCGCTCCTGCCCCTGCTGCTCACCCACCGTCTACCTTCGAGTCTTCACAGAATCACGGTTTGGACCTCGCTCTTTCTGCACCTGCAGAAGCAGCAGCTGTTCCTGTTCCTGCTCATACTACGCCCGCAGCTGCAACTGCCAACCCGCTCGCACACCAACCAGCGCCACCCCTGAACGCGCACTCGCAGCGTGCATTTGGGTCGGCGCAGAGGAGGCGGCAGAGGGCGGTGGAGCAGCAGGCCAAGGAGCTCTGCAGCGGCCTCTTCTCCCCGTACGGGCGGCAGGCCGTGTCTGGTAGCGGCGCCAGTAGCAAGCGATCAGACGGCCCCGCCCCTCCTCTTCCTCCCCCTCATGTTACTGCCGCCTCCGCCACCGCTGCTGCTGCTGCTGCTGCTGCTGCTGCTGCTGCTTCTCCCTCTCCTAGTGCATCTGCCTCAGCAGCAGCAGCAGCAGCAGTGGCGGCGAGCAGTGGTCGCATGGCCAAAGCCACACCAGCACCCAAGGATGCATCAGGATCAGGGCATAAGAGCACAGCAACACGGGCAGGCACGTCGGTGTGGCTGGGAACCCCTCTGGCCGCTGGCATGGGGGCGAAGATCGCCGTGGGCGGCAGGGGCAGCGCCAGTGCTGTTTACCGCGAGCTCTCATCCCGCTGTGGGTCCTCTGGGGGGTGGAAGAGCGGAGGGGAGGGGAGCGTGGGAGAGGAGGGGATGGAGGAGGGGGAGAGTGTGAGGGAGGGGTCGGTGGGTGGTGGAGTGGGGAAGGGAGTGAGGGAGGGGGAGGCGGGGGGGTATGCGGAATGGAGTGCGAGGAATGTGGCTCAGACTGAGGCGAGTTCCGTGCCTTACTTCTGGTCCGGGGTTTACCGAACCTGCAGCTCGGGTTTGGCTGGAAGTGTTGGGCTGAGGGCTTGGCGGAAGGGGAGGGTGGATACAGCGAATTTGGTAAGGTCGCCTAAGGCTGCTGATGCTGCTGCTGTTGCCGCTGCTGCTGCTGCTGCTGCTGCTGTCGGCAGTGTTGCTGCCGCAGCTGCTTCTGCTGATGCCCCATCATCCTCTCCTGTTACTGCCGCTGCTGCATCAGCAACAACAGCCGGAGATGCCAAGGATGGTGATTGCAGCATTGGTGCCGGCGGCACTATCGGTGTCACAGCAGCCAACGGGAGCAGCAGCGCAGGGCAGGGCGCAGAGTTTAAGACAGAGAGTGGCATGAACAGCTGTGATGATGCCGCGGCTGCAGCCACTGGCGAAGAGGCATGGGAGGGGGGCTTGGATTCCGCTGTAGCAGCCAAGGTCGCCTCCCTCTCGTCCCTCTTCTCCTCGCACTATTCTTCGCCCCCACTCTCCCCCTCCCTCTCTCCCTCCGCCTCCCCTTTCCCCTTCCCCGCTCCCAAGTGTGGGTCAACTCGCCCCTCTCTGTCTGCCTGTGCGGGACCCAGCCCCCAGCAGTGCCACCCGTACCAGTTGCACCCGCACCAGCAGCACAGGCGCGGGCGACGAGGGGTGCAGATGCAGGAGGGATGGCAGCAGCAGTGGCAGCAGCAACATGGGTTACTTGGACCGCAGTGGCAGCAGCAGCAGGGGTCGGTGGGGCGGCAGCAGTGGAGAAGCATGTCTGCTGCTCCGCTGGGGCGGATAGACGAGGAGAGGCAGGAGGAGGAAGAAGAGGAGCAGCAACTGCAGAAGGAGGAGGAGCAGCAAGGGCGGGAACTGAAAGGTCAGACTCAGCACCCTGTCGAAAAGGAGCCGTTGGGATCAGGGCATGACGCAGCTGTAGCAGGGGATGCGACGGGGACAGGGACGGGGACAGGAGCGGTGGGTGGAGGTACAGTGGGGAGTGCATACACATACACGTACACTCACACTCACACTGGATGCACGTCGGGCAGCACATGGATGCAGGAGGGCGGGGAGGGCCCTCACATGGTGTCGCGACCTAGGTCCAGGAGAAAGAAGATGGCCAAGCGCGAGTGAGAGCATGGTCTCATGGCATGGCAGAGTTTTAGGGGAGAGGTACTGGTTCAGCAATTTACTTGGTGGATGACTTGAGTATTGTATGTGATTTCACAATGCACCTTTGATTCTTTCAGAGCCCCGTGGGTCAATGCATAGAAGCTCTAGCAGGCGTTGAATTGTTTCTAGGTTAATAAGAAACATCATTTGCTACATTTACCTGTACCATTGCTGGCAAACCTAAGCAGATCAATATCACATGTCCCTGCTTGCAACGCACACACCAGAGCTCGAGCCACAACTTGATTTGCTGCCTGAGACGGATGCACCAAATCCCAAAAGGTGCGTGATTGGCTATCGTCGCACAGCGTTGCAGGCGTGGAGGATTGCGTGCCGTTGGATATGAAAACCGACGTTCCACATTGCACGCAACCGTTGATAGGCCCAGGGGCACCACAACACGCAGATGTCCCCACATTCAATCCGCAATCCCGAGGTCTCTCTGCCATTGCCTGCATAAGCCCATGCATCCGCGCATACACTATTGTAGCACCACTAAATTCGTCTCTTAAACCATCTAATGCGAGCGCTAGCACTGCACTGTGCTCGGTTGTAATCAAATTCACTGCAAAATTGCAGTATGAGGGGGCAGGTTCGTCTAAAAGCTGGCCCTGGGCTTCAGGAATGGTTGCGAGGCCGAGGGGAGTGCATCCAATTGGCAGCGTGTCAAAAAGAAGGAAGTGGCGGAAGCCAGATGCGTATAGGGTCTGCTTGATTGGGAGTGATAAGGTGCAGTAGAAGAGGGGAGAGTGGAGAACAGGTTAGAGCAAGTTGAGTTGGGTGCGTGTGGTGTGGTAGTAAGGAGAGGACTACAGCACTGGGTAGCAGGGGTAGCAGTGAGCATTAGACAGTGGGATTAGTGTGGCGTGCGGCATTAATCAGCCCATTGGCTAATGAATGCATCCCATAACCCATCAGCCACACCCCACCCCATGAAACCGCTCCCAATCCATTCCTTACCCGCACAGCATCGGTGACCCCCCTGACAACAGCGGTAATCAGGTGTTGTGATTGCGGAAGCATCTCAGCCAGTCGTAACAGCTCAGAGGGGTCCATCTGACGGCCCATGTTGATCCCCTTTGCAAGAAACGCGATATAATCATTGGTGCCCATGGACACGAGGGCGAGAGGCGGGGAGTCAGACTCCTGGTAGCAGGACGCAAGGAGGGGGAAGGGGGAGAGGGAAACAGGAAGAAGTGAATGAGGACACTGGTGACAACAGGACCATACAAGGCGACTGTGAAGAGGATAAAGGGCATACAGAAACTGAGCATATGAATGGAATCAGATAATTCACTAAAACAGCAAGAACCCAAAGCCCCAAACCGTCACCCTTGAGAGAAGAGCCACTTACTGGGTCTGCTGCAGGCAGCCCACCCAATTCCGAGAACCTTGAGAGCTGCGCGGAGAGTGGGAAGCCCTGCCACAGAGCCATGGATAGTTGGGTGAGCGTCACTGTAAGAGTCATTTCTCTGCATAAAAGTGTAGGTCACTTTTCACTGGCTAAAAATGGAAAGCGCGGCCTTCAGATCTCCCTTTCTCCCAGTGGTACCACTCTCCAAAGCTCCGAACCTCCGATTATCACCTTATCTGGAGTGGAGGTGTCCAGCACACCCGCCCCTGAGCTGGCGAAGTTGAGTCCGCTTTGGGCGGCACTGCTGTTGATGCCAGGCTGAAAGGCCGCAGGGGCGGCGGGCAGCTCAAAATATTCTGCTGTTAGGAAAACAAATGAAAAACTAGGAGCAGAGTAAGAGTTTGGAAATTCATGCCTGAAGGGCCTTTGTGGATGTCTGTCACTTACAGAGATAGTCAATAACGAGTTTGCCATCACTGAACCTCCCACTAGCGGGATATAGTTCATTCCATAAGGAGGGAAGTTCGCACGATAGAAACTATCCAGGCTGCCATAGTTGTTGTTGCCAACATCAGAGAGCGAGTCTCCAAACGTGTAAATCGCGCCGAATTTGAGACGTGCTAGGGCGCATTTGGCGTTCACGCGATTTGTGGGCAAGCCGGTAATTGACGCCCGGCTGCGGAGCTGATCCGTGAGAAGCGCGTCCCTGGTGCCGTAAATCGCGGCAAGACTGGCGCGATCGGCGCCGGAAGGGGGAACGCTGTTGGAGTTCGCGTCGGCCAGGCCTCGTCCTCTGAAGCCGTGTCGCGCGGGCAACGCGGAACCTAAGGCCGAGTCTGAGTGGACGGCAGCGCGGCAGTCCCAGGGCAGGAGAAGGACGGCTGCGATGAGCAGGAGGAGCGCACGAGAGGAGGCGGAGGCGCGCGGGAGGGGCGGCCGCAGGGGAGCTTCGGCGGAGCTCGCCATGGGAGCGAGCGGAAACAATTTCGGCCTAGTTGGCGAAAGTACATGAAATGTATAGCGATGTCACTGCTCGAGTCGAGACGCCATATGTTCAGCTGCCAGAATTCCGTTTTACCTTGCAGAATACGACGTTTTTTTCGACGGACGAAGGGAAGGAGCCGCGGCTCACGCGTCAAGGTTAGTGTCACAGCCTATCTCCCAGTCAAGTAAGGGCGAGCCGGGTGGGAGTACGGTCGGACATTTTGACATATTATAGCGCATGCGCTTACGTGTGAAAGCGGACATGAGAGAAGACTAATATGTACGGCTAGCGAGAGGGGCTAATTGAAATGCTGTTTCGGAGTGACGGGTTTGGCTCCTACAAAAGGTGAACCTAATTGAGGAACTCGTGCGACGTGAACGACTCTCCAGATCGTCGCGTCGCGTCGTATTGGCGTTTCCGCGTCGTGGCGCACAAATCAAGATGTCGCCCAACTGGAACTTTGACGTCGTGGACAAGAGTTCGAATCGTGCGATCGAATTCACGAGGCCCTCGGATTGGTGAAGGCGTCCAGGTGTCGCCAGCGCCAGCACAGAAGTGTTCTTTTCGAACTGTCCAGCACAACCGCGAAAAACTGTCCAGTTATGGAATGTACACGAAACAGCTTGTAAGCTAAAGCCAACTGAATGCTGGCCCTCATTTCATTGCTTAACCCTAACAAGAACGGGAACATACCCATTGACTGCTAAACATATATTAGTGTGCCCGCATTTCAGGGAACTTGCTGAGAATGCGGGTGGCGTACTTCACTATAGTCATGTCTCCTGATCGCTTTAGCCGATGTAGAATACGGAAGATGTCTATCGATCGAAGATACTCCCGGCACGCCGAATGTGAGCACATGTTGCCAAGGGAGAACAAAGCTATCTTAACTGGTGACTGCGACTCCCCTCCCTCTCTCCGCGGGGTTTGTTGTTGACTCGTTCCAGTCACGACCAAGTCCACCAAAGCCTGGAACGCACACAGAAAGGTGAAGCACACGAGAGAATTGCGCCTCTGTACAAAGTGCAACACGAACATCAAGTGCAGCCCATGAAGATTCTCCCCAGACATTTGTAGAGCACCCATGGGCGCCACGCTGGCCCCAGCATCTTGTAAATACACGGCCATTTCCTTGCATGACCACCACACGCTCACCTGCAGCGCGCCCTGGGAGATGAGGTCGTGGCAGGGCTCGCCCGAGTTGCGCACCATGTTGCCCAGCGCCCTTTGAAATACACACCCCTTCCTCTCCTCCCCCCTCCCCCCCCCTCCCTCTATCACCCTCACCTGAAGCGCCCCCTGGGAGATGAGGTCGTGGCAGAGCTCCCCGGAGTTGCGCACCATGTTGCCCAGCGCCCCTGCAGCGTTGGCCTTGATCTTGTCGTCGCTGCTGCTGGGCGGCCCGCTCTCGGCAGCTAGCAGCACTGCTAGGTGCGGGATGACGGGTCTCAGGGCGGCGTACAACGAACTGTTGTGGTATGCTGCATTGCCAATCTGTAAGGTAGAGGAAGTGATGGGGCACGGGGAGAAAATCAATGCGCAGTGGCATCTGGGAATGCACAGAGCAGAGCACACATGCGGTCATGCGGATCAGGTGGATCAGCAGTAGTGCACTGGACGATCACCACTGGCACAAGGCAGCCCTACACATGCAACACATGTTAGTGCACTGTTGCACTCACTGCAAAGCAGGCGAACTTGCGTGTGTTCCGGTCATGGTCGGCGCAGCACTCTATGAGGCGGGAAAGAATCCCTGAGTCCACCTACAGTTGACACGCACAGGGCCAGAAGGAGAGCAGCACATCACTGAACGTCATGCCACGAGAGTGGCGGCACCATGCTGCCCATACAGCTGCTGCTTTGGATAATGGCAAAGCGATATGAGAACTGGCGTACCGATACTAGTATGGGGAATGGGAAACGAGGCATACCATGATGGGGTAGAAGTAGGCGGAGTGGCGGCACATGTTGCCCACGGCGTTGCAGGCCTTGGAGCGCACGCCAGCATCGGGGTGTGCGAGGAACACCTCCAGTGCCCCGTAGATGTCCGCCGTTGCTATGGGCTCGTAGTAGTCCTGTGGAGGGAAAGAGGCAGGGATGGAAGTGGTACAACGGGGCGGACAAAGGGAAGAAAGTGAGTGGTGAGACATGTTGCCATTGCAGGCGCGCACACCAGGGTGTGCAAGGAACACCTCCAGTGCACCGTAGATGTCCGCCGTGGCAATGGGCTCGTAGTAGTCCTGCCAGGGGGGAAGAGGCAGGGGGGGAAGTGGTGCATGGGGGCGGACAAAGGGGAGAGAGTGAGAGGCAGCACGAGTTGCCATTGCAGGAGCGCACACGAGCATCAGGGTGCGCCAGAAACACCTCCAGTGCACAGTAGATGTCCGCCGTGGCAATGGGCTCGTAGTAGTCCTGCCAGGTGGGAGGGACCGGTGCATGGGGACGAACAAGGGGAAGAGAGAGAGTGGCGGAGTCCGTGCGATGTGGAACAGAAGTTGTTAAAGCGCATGGACAAGCGCTTGGGGAAGGCAGGCATGGGCAGAATCAGGTGGTTGCAATATCGGGTATGGGCAGACATTGAAGCAGACCGAGGAAGGGTGAGACGATGAGCAGACGGTGAACAGCAGCGGCTACGCTCCTCAGAGAGCCAGGAGATGTGGGAGACGATGAGCAACACCTCCATCACATACCCCTGCCCTTCCTTACGCTCGCCTCCCCCCAACCATGCTATGATAAATGAATTCCCCCCTACAGGAGCGGAGCACTCACCTCAGAGAGCCTTGAGAGGTGCGAGACGATGAGCAGCACATCCATGACCACCTCCATCACATACCCCTGCCCCTCCTCTCCCCCCACTACACACGACAAATGACCCCTACAGCATTGATACACTCACCTCGGAGAGCCGGGAGAGGTGGGAGACGATGAGCAGCACGTCCATGACCACCTCCATCACGTACCCCTGCCCCTCCTCGCCATCTTCCCCCTTTAAACATTATATAATAAACGACCCCTACAGCAGTGAAACACCACTCACCTCGGAGAGCCTTGAGAGGTGTGAGACGATCAGCAGCACGTCCATCACCACCTCCATCACATACCCCTGCCCCTCCTCTCCGTCCGCCCCCTCCGCCCCCTCCCCCTCGCCCTCCTCGGGCTCCTCCATACCGAACAGCTTCCCCATGAGCCCCGGGTCCAGGCCTCCGTGCCGCACCAGCAGTGCCGCTGCTGCTGGCGAGTGGTGTGCGACGCGTGACAGCAGGTTGATGGGGCCGATTAGAGCTGGGCCCTGAAGTACCGCCAGTGACGCCAGCAGCACTGGGATGGCTGACGACTGGTTGACAGGAGAAAGGGGGAGAGTGGGAAACAGGAGGAGAAGAGCAGAAGTCGGATGATGCTATGGAAGGATAAGCGGATCCAAGAAGGGGCTAGAGGACCAGGCGTGAGTTGTTGCAACAGCTTGGGGCTGAGGATAGGAACAAGCAGCATCATGCCGATACATCATGCAGCATGGGAACCCAAGCTGCTTCACGCCCCATCCACGCACCTCCTGCAGCATCTGCAGGTACTGCGGCTGCAGCGCCAGCAGCGCCCGTGACAGCTCATCCATCTCCCCCCCGCTGCCGCCCGACCGGCCGCTGCTGCCGCCCGCCGCCCCGCTAACTGCCGAGGCAGCGGGGGCAACACTAGTAGTGCCGCCCGCGCTGCTAGCCCCCCCAATAGCATCCCCTGCAACGATTGCATGGAAGGGGAAGAGAAGCACGTCTACGACCCCACACACCAGCTCCACCACCATATCCAGTGATACCGGCTGTGCCACTCCCTCCAAGCTTCCCTCCATCACCCACGCTGCTTCCCCCCACATCTGCCCTGCTTCCGCCCCCCCTCCCCCTCTCCCACCTCCCCCGCGCCCCCCTGACCCCTCCGCGCCCCCCCTGCCCCCCTCCCCTCCCCCCTGCGCCAGCTGCATCTCCCCCCAGGGCCCGCCCTGGCAGTTGTCCCACGCCTGCAGGTGCGCCAAGTGGAAGGTTCCGAGAAGCTTCAGAAGGATGTCGATGGGGTCGGGGCCGATGAGGGCGTCGCGGTAACCACCGGCTGAGAGGAGGGGGAGGGGGGAAAAGAAGAAAAGGGACGGCAAAAGAGGAGTGTGCGGGGGAGGTGAGGGACCAAGGGAGGAAGGGGAGCATTGGGATGAGCAGGAAACACCAAGTGGGATGAGAGGCTGGAGAAAAATCAGACATGGGTATAAAAGAGGCAGAAAACAGAGCAGAGAGACACTGCAGTAGAAGGCGTGCAATAGGGATCATGGGGAGAGAGTTGTGGAGTGGAGGAGCGGGGGAAAACGTACCAGGGAGGCACATGTAGAGCCCTGCCAGCAGCCACATGACGCCCGTGGGTGACAGCCCCACATGGTCCGGGGGCGCGCACCCCCTCTCCCCCGCCGCCCACGCTGCCCTCTCCCCTTCAATTGCCTTCCCCACTCCGCTCCTCCCCCCTTCCCCCCCTCCTTTCCCCCCACCAACACGGTCCACACCCCCTCCCAGCACACTCATCATAGAAACTAGCAGCCCATCTTCCAGTGCTTTCTCAACCGCCTGAGGCCCCCCCAGGCGCAGGGAGACTGTGAGCATGCCCACATACCCGTCCCGCACCCCGTGCCACCGCCCCACCACCCTCCCCGCGCCCCCCCACAGCTCCCCCCACCCGCCATTACACGCCCCAAACCCCTCCATCCCCTTGGAAAACCCCGGAGCGTGAGAAACACGCAGCTTGGAGGAGAGCAGAGCGAGGGGCGGGAGGTATTTCAGAACAAGGTCGGAGATGTTTGAAGAGTCTGGCGCGTCTGCTGGGCTGCTGCTACCAGGGGTCCCGCCGAATGAGGCCCTGCCGCCTCCCCACGACCCGCCTCCGAAGGACCCTCGCCGCTCCCCTGACTGTGCGAGTTCTAGCTCCATTATAACTGCCATCGCCAGCGCTGCTGCTGGTGCCGACGGCCGCCCCGGCCCCACCCCCATCCCCTGCTGCTGTTGCGTTTCACTCCTTGCTGCTCCTCTCGTTCTGCTACCACCACCTGTTGCTGCAGCTCCAGCACCACCCCTCCCTCCCTCAGCTTCCCCTAATCCGCCTTCCCCTGCCAGTTTCCCTAGAACCGCCAGCCTGACCTCCTGCACTTGCGAGTCTGACGTCAGCACCCACTTGCCGCCCTGCAGGCCCCTCAGCCCCAACCCCTCCGCTACAGCCGCCACTACCAGACAAGCCAACGCCGCCCGGACACTGCATTGCAAGGCGTCCTCAGGAGCAGCAGGAGACGGAGTTTGAGAGGAGTGGAGGAGGGAGAAGACAGCGGCAAGCAGGGAGTCAGAACCCCCTCCCGACACAATGCTCCCATCGTGCCCAGGGAAGGGGGCGTTTGGGATGGGCGCTCGGGCCATGAGACAGCAGAAGGACGGGGAGAAGAGGCAGCAGCGCAGCAGCAGCTGCAGCAGCCTGGGAAGCAGCACATTGTTCCCTCCCACCATCTCCAGTGCTGCAGCTATAGCCGCACTCGCACTCGCCCCATTCCCAATAATCACCTCAACGACTCGCCGCAGCAGCCTCTCTCCCACAAACCTCTCCTTCTCGAGCTTTTCCCCAAGAGCCCTCCGCAGCTTCCCTCCCTTCTTCCCTATGCCTTCCACGCCCTCCCATCCTGGTGCACCCCCAAGCATAACTGCCAGAGGAAAGCCCTTCCTGTCCCCACTGCTCCACTCCCCACTAGCTGCCTCCATTCCTTCCACAGCTGCCCAAATTCCCAGCAGAGCTTGCAGACTCGCCTGCTGCCACTCGCCCGCCTCCTCTGCATCAATCTTTTCAGCTGCCCGGCCAGCACCCCGGGCAGCAGTGCCTCCTCTTCCACCCTTCCTCTCCTGCTCTTGAGCTGCAAGCGAAATTCCTTTTCCTGCGAGGGCAATGCAGCGGGCCATGTGCTCGGTGGCAGCCACTGCCTGTGCGCACGACAGTATCTCTGTATCCACGTAACTCACACTGCCCGCCCCTGCTGCCGCCCCTCCCCGTCCCCCTGTTCCCCCTCCGCCTGCTGCTGCTCCCTGTGTGCCACGTGTACTTCTGTCCCGAGTGCTTCCTCCTGCCTTCTGCTGCCGCTGTGAGCCAGTGGACCGGGGCGCAGTGGCGGTAGGGGCGGGGGGGGAGGGGCCAGGGAGGCAGGCTGCGCGGACGGCAGCAGAGGAGGCGGCGAGGAGGAGAGTGAGGGAGGCCGTGGCGAGGTGGCACGCCTCGCCTGACTGCTGCGCTGGCCCTTCCAGCAACTGCGCGCAGATCAGTGCGTGTGGGACATCGGGGGCGGGAGGGAGGAAAGAGAGTAAGGTTAGAAGGATTTTGGAGGCGACAAGGCACTGATTACAAGAGAAGGAAGAAATTATGAGAAACACTCTCACGGCGACAAGGGCATGGCGCACCTTGGGGTATTTCTTGATGAACGAGAGAGCATTCTCCAAAAAAGCCCCTTCCGTTTCTCGATCCCACTCCCCCTCCTCGCCCTTCTTCCCGCCCCCTCCCGCCCCTCCCCCTTTCCCCTGCCTTTCCCTCTCCCTCTCCTTCTCCTTCCCCGCCTGGCTGCCCGCGAGGGACGCTCTGAGGGCGAAGGCGCAGCGCAACAGGGCCAGCGCGGGGCACAGCACAGGCTGCAGGCGGGAGGATCTGTCCGCGAGACACGTGTCGAGCAGGGATAGGACGGCGGGGAGCACGTCGTAGTGCAGGCAGCGCGCGTCCAGAGGAGGGTCGGAGGGATGTCGGTCGGTGACGAGGGATGCCAGGGAGTGCAGCGCGCTGGCTGCTGCTGCTATGGCGTCACTGGCGAGGGGGAATGAGGAGAGGAGGATAGTAAAAGGCAGGGAAGGGGGGTAGAGGGAAGGGGAATTGAGAGGAGGGGAGGAATGGGACGTGTGGCATCTGCTGTAGCAACTATGTGTGTAAGGAGGCTGGCAGAATGCAGCGCCAGTGCGGGCAGAGCGGGTGGGGCACTCACGGGGATGCAGAGGCAGCCTTTGGGAGGAACAAGCGAATGACTTCCAGACGCCTCAGCAGCCGGCTCCTCCCTGGTGAGATAGCATGGGATACAATGGGATACAATGGGATACAATGGGATACAATGGGATACAATGGGATACAATGGGATACAATGGGATACAATGAGGACGTGTATGAGTTTTCATGGGGCATGGATGGTGGATACACAGAGCAGTGTGGCAATGGCAACAGCACGCAGGTACAAGTGCAGGCAGGTTGGGGAGTGGGCGCAGTCTCAGTCAGAGGGATCGCTGGAGGGACGAGCAGGTGAATCACCTGTGGCTGCTGGCTGAGCGGGAGGCGGCATCTCCTCTGCTGCTCGCGCTGCTCTCGCCCCTCGTGGCCCCTCCTCCCCCTGCTGCCTCTGCTGCTGCTGCGCCTGCTGCCGCTGCTGCTGGGGCTGCGCTGGTGTCTGGGCGGGCTGAGCAGGCGGGGCGGGGGCCTTGGCGGGCATGAGGTTCTGGGGGGTGGTGCGCGCCTCTATGGTGCGCAGAGGCAGCTCCCGCGCCTTCTTGCCTGGCGGACACGGGACAGGCGTCGTGCCCCCCACTGCTGGTGCCGCCTTGGCGTCTGGTAGCGGCACAGGGGGGGTGAGGGGGGGGAGGAAGGGAGGTATGAGAAGTGAGGTGAGTGCCAGGTACAACCTTGCCCCGCAGTGCAAACGATTCATTGCACACTCACAGCAACGACCCACCAATCAGAATGAGAGAATAATTGGCATGCATGGGCAAGGTCACTGGGCAGAGGGCAGAGGGCTCCAGTTTTGGAGGCTGACCTGGTGCAGCGTTGGCGTTCTCCTTGGCGGCGGAGGGCATGAGTGGGTGGGGGAGAAACGTGCTGGCACGTGCATGCCATGCTGCCCTGCATGCTCGCTCCATCGCCTTCTGTGCTCGCTCCTCCTGCCATTGCCATTTTCATTATCATTGGCATTGCCATGCACAGGCCCATGCAGCACACAAACATGCATGAGTATCAACGCAATTCCTGTCAGGCCGTGCAATTCCTGACCAGCATGGACAGCAGAACGAGCACGCCACTCCCCAATCGTCACCTGGCACCCCTCCACCCTCCACGCCCTTAAACCCAGCACCCGTACCCACAAGGCCATGCGCTCACCCTCGCGTGGATCTCCTCGGCGGTCTCCTTGACGAAGGGGTGCTCCAGCAGCGCGGGCCACGTGAGGCGGTTCTGCGGAACGAGCACGTCATTCCCCCATCGTCACCCAACATCCCCAACCCAGAACGCCCCTGCATACAGCGCCCATACCCCACGGCCAATCCCTCACCCGTGCGTGGATCTCCTCGGCGGTCTCCTTGACGAAGGGGTGTTCCAGCAGTGCGGGCCACATGAGGCGGTTCTGCGGAACGAGCACGTCACCCCCCCATCAACACCCTGCACCCCCCACCCAGCACGCCCTTTCACGCAGCACCTGTACCCACGAGCCCATGCGCTCACCCTTGCGTTAATCTCCTCGGCGGTCTCCTTCACGAAGGGGTGCTCCAGCAGCGCGGGCCACGTGAGGCGGTTCTGCGGCGTCTTGTTGAGCAGCCCGTGCAGGAAGTGCTTGAAGCTCGCGCTCATGGCGTCGGGGTACTTCACCGGGTCCTGCATGGCCAGGTATGAGATGGGTTGAGTGAGAGGGAAACGAACGGTTGATGACGTGTCTCTTAATGAGACGCCCGTGCAGGAAGTGCCTGAAGCTCGCGCTCATGGCGTCAGGGTACTTCACCGGGTCCTGCGGGGCCAGGTATGGGGGGTTGAGAGGGGTTGAGTGAGTGAGTTGAAGTGTTTCAACATAAGCAGCCCGTGCAGGAAGTGCTTGAAGCTCGCGCTCATGGCATCGGGGTACTTCACCGGGTCCTGTGCCAGTCGGGTCAGGGAATCAAAATTGGTGAGAGGAAGAATGAGAGACGTGAGAAGGGGTAAGAGGCCTGCAGGACGATGAACACTGGATATGACAAGCAATCAATTCCAGGGCTTGCCTTGATGATGTGGTTGATGAGCGTGTAGATGGAGTTGGTGTAGAAGGGCGGCTGGCCCACGTAGAGCTCGTACAGGATGACGCCCAGCGACCACAGGTCCACCGTGTGGTTGTACGGCTGCTCCTGCACCAGCTCCGGTGCCATGTACAGCGGCGTGCCTGCATGGCGGTAGTGGGAGGACAGGAGGGGAGAAGTAGTAGTGGGTGGCAGAGAATGGAGTGAATGATGGAGAACGAGCCTCAAACGAGCTCCTGGACTAGGTTCATTAAGTCACCATGGTGTTGCACGACATGGCGCACCTTTGATGGATGTGAGCACCATGGTGTTGCACGACATGGCGCGCGCAAACCCAAAGTCGCAGAGCTTGATGATGCCCCCCGCGCCCACCAGGATGTTCTGCGGCTTCATGTCGCGGTGGATGATGCGGTTCGAGTGCAGGTAGTACAGCGCGCGCACCTAACGCGCGCGGATGGGGGAAGGGGGAGAAGGGGAGAGGGGCAAAAGGAAAAGGGACGAGGAATCGTATTTTGGGAGCGGGAAGGGGGTCGGGAGAGGCAGGTGTGGGGGGTTTGGAGGGTGGAAGAAGCACGAAGGGGTAAGCATCTTGACCGGAGCATGGACTAGCGACTTGGAATCGTGTTGGCTGCTCGTTATGACTAGCTCGTTGTGAGATTCTCTTACCAGTTGCTTGGCGATGACTTGCACTTGGGCCTCGGGTAGCGCCTGGTCGTTCTGCAGGATCTCGAACAGCTCGCCCTGCCGCGGTCGGACAGTGCGGGCACGTGCACGGTCAGGGAGAGGAAAGGGAGAAGAGAAGCGCGGGATTAGGAAGGAGGATGGGGATGATAAGCGGGCGCATGTTGCGTCGAAAATAAGAGGACGTGCTGGAGGCGAGGCCGGGAGGGTGGCTGGGGGAAGGCTGGGGAAGAGGCTGCTGCGAGTGACTCTCGGGGGAGGTTGGGAGGGAGGCTGGGAGGGAGGCTGGGAGGGAGGCTGGGAGGGAGGCTGGGAGGGAGGCTGGGAGGGAGGCTGGCGGGAGGCTGGAGAGAAGGCTGGGAGAGAGGCTGGGGGGGAGGCTGCCTCACCTGCGCGAACTCCGTGACGACGCAAAATTCCTGCGGGGTCTCGAAGGCGTCGAGCATCTCAATTATGTTCTCGTGCTTCAGCTTCCGGAGAATCTGATCAAAGAGAACGTGAAGAAAATACATGCTTTTATTAAGGGCTTAATGTTTGCTAGTCCTGGTTCAAGCAAAACGACAAAATGGTCAAGTAATCAGTTGAGTGGAATGCAAAAAAAGGAACGGGAAGTTATGTACCTCAATCTCCTGCCGTAGGTTCTTTATGTCCCGCTCGCTCTTCCCGTGCTTCAGAATGAATTTCATTGCCGTCATCTGCAGCGAAAGCAGCCCAGAAAGATGAGTCGAGATCCACCTAACGTCGTGACATCTACATGACTGAACCATGCTTTCGCGTCTCCTCACCTGGCCAGTGAACTTTCGTCGTCCTTTGTAGACCTTGCCGAACGACCCCTCTCCTACTAGTTCTATCACATGGTAGTCTTCTAATCCCATTGTATCAGCCTTAAATCGACAATTGACTAGGTCTGGTTAGTCGCATAACTTAGTTCAAACGCTGGTCTCGAGAGCAAGCCTCAGCTTACTCGAGGATCTGACCACGGCCTGTTAGGAATCCTCAGAAGGCGAGATGCAGTTACTCGTAAACGCGACAAACTACGCCTTGTGCGCCCCGATACGATCGCGAAAAAACGCGCGTGCAACTAGATATATTTGAGAGAGCTATGACACCATGGCCTTCCTACAACACCACGCCCATATACCGAAGGAATCTTGCAAGCTCTGAGCTAAGGAGACAAATTCTTTTGAACCAGTTGTCTGGATGTTCATTATGGGGGACTAAGGGAATGCCGTCACAGGCAGGAATCACATGGAGTGGGCATCCCATGGTCGCCGCGCAAAATTGAAAAATCCAGGTTGGGTGTGCGCCCACCATCCTTCTTTTGGCTCGGAAATGGCCGTGCTTTGGTTCGGTAGTCGGTGGAAGAGGTTCGCAAACCGCTTCATTGGCTGAGCCTGGTGGAAACTACGGGCGTTCCCCGCCAGGCCAGAAAAAGAACGGTTCAGAAAAGCGCGGGAAAGTAGCGACTCCGCAGTGGTCTGGCGCAACATTCAAACGTAAACAGCCGTAACTAGCTTGACCACTTGATTTGCACCATAAAAGAGTCAGTAAAAGAACGATTTTGAATTAGTGAACAGAAGATTCCTTACTCCTATGATTAGACGTTAGAGAATTACTAGGATTCCTAACATCATTCAATGCCCCCATATCCACGTGTTTGGGGGAAACATGAAGCGAAAAGCGCTTCACATTTTCCTATGTCAGTTGCAGTCGATGCTACAGCTGCTAATGCCATAATCTGCCCAAACTCATCCATCTTCTTGTTCCTCTCCTCCAGCAGCTCATCAAACCCCTTATCTTCATTGTCCTTCTCGTCTGCCTCGTCCTCCGCATCGTCAATAACAACTGGTTCAGAAACGTTCCCAAAAGAGCCCGCCCATTGACCCGATCGGCGACGAGAAGCGCTAACATTTGGCGCCGATTCTGTTGGCGCCACATCATCCCAAGCCCCACCCCGCATGCTCCTCCTCCTGCCACGCCAAGCCTCCTCAACCTCTCCCTCTCCTGACTCCACCCCCACTTCCCTGCGCCTCTTCTCACCCACCTCACGCATCCCTCCAGCCTGCTCCCTGCCTGGCAGCTGGTTCGTGAATGCCATCACCACGGGATCAAACTCCGCTGCCATTACAGCCACCTCCTGCACCCACCGCTCCCCCCCCTTGGCTGCTCCATATCTCTCTTCCCCTGCTTGACGCCCACCAAAGGGTCTTGACAAAGAAAAAGCAGGACCACGTGGTACGGCTCTAGAGTGTGACGGTCTTGTGAGAGCATCAGCAGCAGGAGCACCAGCTTGAGCACTTTCTTCCTCACTCCTCCTTCCAAAGCCATCAACTGCCACAGCACCAAGCATCTCAAACCCCGCCTCTGCCGCTCGTGCATCCACCTCATCCTCCCCTTTACCCCCCTCACACTCCCCTCTTGCATCGCCCTCCCCAGGGGCACCAGGGGGACCCGAACGCCCGCACAAGGCGGCACAGGAGGCCAGGCCGGAGAGTTGAGTGGCATCACAGGTGAAGATCTCCTGCAGCAGCTCCGCATTGCTGGTGTACCGAGCCAGAGCTTCGGCCCGAGCCTCGTCTGCAGCTTCGTCGGCCTCATGGAGTCTCTGTAGGCGGAGGTTGTGTGCTCTTGAGGACTCCTGGTGAGAGAGGCGGGAGGGGAGATAGGGATACAGGGGGAACATGTGAGTGAAGGTAACATGAGACTCAGGCCACAATGACACCAGAAAGAACACAACCTAAGTGGCATGTGCATCACGAAGTGAGAGGAAACAGCAGGTGTAATCACAACACAACAACAAAAAAAACCACAACAGCAAGAAAATAGCAGCAAGCCCATGCATGGAGTGGGGCAGCACGCACCGCAGAGCACTGGGACAGCACCGCCTGCAACGCCTTCATCTGCAGTTTCCGTCGCCTCTGCTTCTCCTTCTCCGCTGCTGCCGCCGCCACCGCTGCCGCTGCTGCTGCAGCCGCTGCAGCCTTGGCATCAGCAGCACCTCTCCCCGGCACCGCTTGCTGTGAGCCCACTGCAGCTGCTTTCACCTCTGCGATGGCGCCACCTGGCACAGCAAGACTTCTCTTGATCCCCACAGAGCTAGCACCCTGCCCTGCTGGCCCAGGTGCTGCTGACCCAGGTGCTGCCCCAGAGAGGCCAGTGGAAGCATTGCTGGTTCGGTTCTCAGCCTTTGCTGCCGCTGTGGGGGTCACTTGTGCGGCTGGCCGCTTGGGCAGAGGGGGCGGCGAGGTGAGACGGGGCAGGCGGGAGGAGGAGAGGGCGGGGAGCTTGAGGGGGTTTTGGGACCCAGCCTGTGCTCGCCTTGCTTGCGGCTGCTGCGCCCGCTGCTGTGCCTGTGCCTGTGCTTGTGCATTCCCGTGAGCCTGTGCCTGTGCCTGTGCCTGTGCCTGTGCCTGTGCCTGTCCCTGTGCTTGTGCATTCCCGTGAGCCTGTGCCAGTGCCTGTGCTTGTGCCTGCTGCTGCATCTGCTGCAGTTGCGCTCTCTGCTGTTGCTGTGGCTTTGGCACTAGCTGCTGCTGTTGCTGCACCTTCCCGTGCGGCTGTGGGGCCTGCACCGCCTGCCCCTGCCCCGGCACCTGCCCCTGTTTCTGCTGCAGAAAACCCTCCACCTGCTGCTGCAACCGCTGCCGCTGCGCATTAATCTGCTGCTGCCCCTGCTGCCCCTGCTGCCCCTGCTGCCCCTGCTGCGCCTGTGCCTGTGCCTGCTGCTGCGCCTGTACCTGTGCTTGAGCCTGCGCCTGGTGTTGAGCCTGTTGCTGAGCCTGCAACAACCTCGCTTGCGCTTGCTTGGCTGCTGCGCTCACAGGGGGCTTCACCTGCTGCCCCGCTCCCCCTGCCACCCCCGCTCCTCCTGCCATCCCCGCTCCCCCTGCCACGGCAGGCAGTCGCAGCTGCCCACCCCCTTGCGCCTGAGCCGCTGCTGCTGGCGCCTCTGCCACCCCCTGCCCCTGCGCCTGGATCTGCCCCCGCGCCTGCGCCTGTCCTCTAGCCTGCGCCTGCAAAACATTCTGGTTCTGCACTTGTGCCTGTGCAGGGCGGGACGAGTTTGCAACCTGAGATGAGTTGCCCTGCTGAGCCGAGGAGTTAGGGTGTTGCGGAGGGTGCAGCTGATACAGCGGCAGCAATGCAGGGGGCAGCACCTGAGGCTTGGGAACCAGGGGCTTGTGCTGGGAGTGGTTCTGTGCATGCATGGCGGCGCCTTGTTGTTGTTGTTGCTGCTGCTGCTGCTGTATTTGCATCTGCTGCTGCTGCTGAAACGTCTGCGAGAGCAGCTGCCTCTGCTGGGGAGTGAGTTTCTGCAGCAGCTGGTCCTGCTGCAGCGCTCTCTGCTGTGCCACACTCAGCTGCTGGCCCACCTGCGCCGGCGCTGCCTGCTGTGCTTGTCTTAGCTGCTGCTGCTGCTGCACTGGTTGCTGCTGTTGATGCTGTTGCGGCTTTTGCTGTTGCTGTTGCACTCCAAGCTGCTGTTGCTGGTGCTGCTGCTGCGGTAACAGTGGCGGATGAGAGTGGTTCTGCTGCTGCTGTGGTGACGAGGTCTGAACTTGCTGGAGCATTTCTGCCTGCAACTGCTGCTGCTGCTGCTGCTGCTGTTGCTGCTGCTGTTGGGCATACTGTTGCGCTTGGCGCTGCTGTTGCTGCTGCAGCAACAACGGCTGCAGTTGCTTCATCAGCTGCTGCTGTGTTTGTACCTGCGAATTTCCCTGCTGTCCGTGTTGCCCCTGTTGCTGCTGCTGCCCCTGTTGCAGCTGCTGCCGATGTTGCTGCTGCTGCTGTTGTTGTTGCTGCAGCTGTTGCTGCTGTTGTTGTTGCTGCTGTTGTTGCTGCTGAAGTTGCTGTTGCAGCCGTTGCTGCAGCTGCTGCTGAGTCGCTTGCATGGGCTGCTGCGCCGGTGAAGGGAAGCTTCCCGGAGCTTGCAGCCCCTGCTGCTGCAGAGCTTGCATCTGCTGCGTTGATTGCTGCGGCTGCTGCGGGGGTATTCTCGATGTCAGTGGTGACGTTTGGTGCTGCAGCTGCTGCGGCTGCTGTTGCGCCTGCTGCTGCCCCGCTGCCTGCACTGGCCGAATGGCTATAGGCCTCGGTTGCTGGTGCACGCGCGGCGGGAGGGGGTGCAGCAACGACGGCTTCTGCGGCGTGTGCTGCTGCTGCTGCGCCTGGGGTTGTGAGATCTGTGGCTGCATCGGCGCTTGACCCGCCTGCTGCTGCGACTGCATCAATGGCTGCTGCTGTGCTTGCAGCTGATGCTGCCTTTGAGTTTGCAGCGCCTGCTGCACCTGTTGCGGAGAAGGCTGCGGCGAAGCGGACACTTGGCCAGGCGCCAGTTGCGGGGAAGGGGCGGCTTGTAGCGGCGGCTGAGGCGTTACCCGCGCGGACATCACCTGCGCAATCCGCGGAACTCTACCGGGCACAGGCGCAACAGGCCGCGAGGCGGAAGCATGCGAAATCGCGGGGTTCCCGCTAGCGCCAGATGCGACGGCGGAACTAAATTGCGCTGCCTGATGGTTCGCGGAAATGAGTCCCGCTTGCGGGATAGTCGGGGAAAGAACGGAGGACGGGGCGAGGAGAGACGACGATAAGGGTGGTTGAGGGGGAAGTGTGGAAGCGAGAAGGGAGGGATTAGAGTGTCCGTCCATGGAATTAACCAGATCAAAATCCAGTTGGATGGGATAAACGATACCCGATGCTGGTAAAAACGCGACTTCTGCTGTAGCGACGGCTGATCCGCTTGCCGATTTCGTCGATCTGTCGTCAAGTGCCGTTATTCGAACTGCTGCTGTTCGCTAAGAAAAGAAACGATCCTTCGGATGCGGCCGTAATCTCGCGGCGGCGCGGTCGCGGAGACTAATGCGATCGATTTAACGTGTGCTGCTCCAGGGGCGTAGACCAGAACTACCGGCTATCGTGAACGAAAAGAGAATGCTGACGGTAGAGGTAAGACGACTCCGCGGGGCTAGCTGACTGAAGCCACGGATGGTGCTACCCTAATGCGTGAGGACTATTTTCTGCTACAAAACGTCGAACAAGAACTACCGCTTTAAGCTACGCAGTCTTCGTCTCCAACCTCGCCGCAAATAACGGACCACGATCCACGTGGCAACGACAACGATCTAGAAGGAACACCTGCGCAGGGACAAGAGAAAACGCAGCAAATGGGAGGACAAACAGAATGAAAACAAGGTTAACGTCATGGTCGAGAAACTGACGAAACAACATGGTTGAAGCAGCGATGCGACGATAAACTTGACGTAATTATGCAAGTAAACTAGACGCTAGGGGCCAGTGTTAATAGTGACCAGTTTATTCCAACGAGCAAGGCAAGTGCAGAGACGATAAGAAAGCTATAGGAGCAGCGACGGTGAACGGGGGAAACTCGAGGAATAAGAGGGGAAGCAGCCTAAGTCACGGATCATGTTGGTTTGGCACGATTGACGACTAAAACGACACAAGAGACGAGACGGCGCAACCCAAGCTAAGCAAACTACGCGAGCGATCGATTAGGTCTAAACACCAAGTGCTCAGGGAATTGCGGCGGCGAGTTATAAAAGCAGGGAAGCGAGCAGGCGAGTGGGGAGAGGTGCTCGGTGTTGACTGAACCTGGTGGGTTGGGCGGTTCGAGCCACGTCGGACATGGAGGGTGGAGCACAGCCGTGGGCGTGCGAGTGCGACTGCGAGTGACGATGGAGCGGAGGGAGCGGCAGGCAGAAGCAAGAGGCTATAGCTGAGAACAGCTGCACAAGCAGCAGCGGAACCCTCTAAAAGATGACTGCCTCTTTTTATCTGACAACCCAACCTGCTGCCCACCATGAGGGTTTTACCGCCTCGATCCATTCCCAAGGCCTGGAAAGTTTCGGCTGAGACGTTGGAGATGGATTCTCGGCCGTCGATAGAGTTTCGACCTGCCCGAGGGTCTTGACATCTACAGTGATCGGCGAAAAAGCGCCCAGCTCGTTGGAGTGAATATCCGTCAGGTCGTGGATGTGTTTTCTTCGCATTGTTCGTTTGTTACCCGATCATCTGCACTGAAGGAAAGTTGACTGAACACGGATTTCTACAATGCGACTGATCACTTCAGCTAAAAACACTCATTAGGTAGGTGCCTCTATATCAGATTAGATGGATGCCAAGACATATCAGTGCAGATAACATAACAAAAAACATACACTAAACATTTTTTCGGTCGGACTGCAGTGCCAGAACTTATTGTTTCAACCTTATGTGTTATCTACGTGGAGGGGCCAGAAATCCCAATGCGTCGTATGTGTCCCTTAGTGTGCGGTCAGCAATTTCATTGGCTCGTGCTGCCCCCCCTGCCAGCACCTCATCCAGATATGCTGCATCTGCTGTCACCTCCTCGTACCGTTTCTGGCAAATGCGAGGGAGAAGGGGGAAAGTGAGAGGGGTGGGGGGAAGGGGTAAGATGAAAGCTGAACGACCTCGTGGTAAAAATACAGAAATTATGCAGGACAGTGCTTAAAAGAACTAGTGGACACATGGCTTGCCTGGATTGGCTCTAGGTGAGCGACAAGGGCATCTGCTAGCAGCGGCTTGAACTGCCCCCAACTCAGCGCCTCAACCTCCTGTTGCACCTCCTGGCTTGCATAGAGGGGGTTGGGCCACGAGAGAGGGGGACGGGAAGAGGGGAGGAGCAAGGAGAGAGTAAGGAAAGAGAGGCATGGGCATGAGTCGAGGAGAGCGGCCCTGAGCTTTAAAGCGAAGGTACACATCTAACTCTGCCAATAAGCGCAAAAATCCGGTCAGGTTGACGACATCATAAATGCCCCATCCATTCGCGCTTCCCGTTCCCTGCCCTTGCCTCTGCCCTCTAGGCCGACCTCCTTGGTTCTCCCAGTGACGATCTGGTAGATGGGCATCAGGGCACTCTGGGCGCTTGGGGTGACTTATGAGTCGACTTAAAAGCCACCTCGCCCCTGCCCACTGGACTGACCTCCTTGGTTCTGCCGGTGACGATCTGGTAGATGGACAGTAGGTTCTGGCACTCGGGGCGCTCTGGATTGCCAAACTCCATGCTGCATGGGGGGAGGTGAGCGAGGAGGTGACACGGGGAGTGGTGTGAGGAGCGAGAGGGGTAGAACGAAGCGAGGAGGAAGCTGAAGGTGAGAACGAGAACAGTGCCTGAGTGAGCTGTGAGGACAGAGGGTGCGGAAAGTAGGGAACCTGAACGCCATTCCCTCCTCTTCTTTTCTTTCCCTTCCCTTTCTTCCGCTCCCATCTTCCCACTCTTCCCCATCAGATCAATGGCTGCTCACCCCATTGCCCCGCTCACCCCCACCCCACCAGCCACCCTCCCTTATCCCATTGCCCTTTCTCACCCCATCACCCTCCTTAACCCCACAAACCACCCTCGCTCATCCCCCAGCAGCCACCCTCCCTCACCCTGTGAAGCTGTCGGTTTTGCAGCGCTTGATCTTATTGGCTATCACCTGCTCGGCACGGCGGCGAGGGAGGGACGGAGGGTACAATTGAGATGACAGGCTAGGAGTGGTGGAGGTAGAATCGGGAGGTGAGAAGAAGGGAGTATGGGAGAATAGGACAGGAAATGGAAGGAGAACGGAGGGAGGGGAGTGGCGGGAATGGGATGGGAAGAGAGCAAGCGAGGGATAGAACTAGGAGGGGTGGAGGAGAGAAGGCGCACTTGCGGGGGATCGAGAAGGTTGATTCGGGACATGTCAGATGGGGCCGACTTGGACATCTGCATGCACGGTGGTGCAGTGGCAGGGGATGGGACACGAGGGCGGATGTGAGAAGGGCGTTATGAACAGAATTTAAACACACGTGGCATGAAAATGGGATACTGATGGCACATGAAGAAGGGTACGGGCAGGATTACAAATGATTTCGCATAAAATGAATCTGTGTACTGGCAAACAAAACTGCTGATGTGGAAATGAATGGAAGGGGCAAACATAGACAGTCCGACTGCCTACCTTGGAAGTGCCATCAGTGAGAGACATGATGCGAGCACCAGCAGGGGGGATCATGGCCTCTGGCACCTTGAACACCCTGCCGCCCCGCCTGTGCACACGAGAAAAAGAAGAGAGGCAACAATGGGATGAGCAAACATTTGAGACATCTCAAAGGCACCAGCAGGGGCGATCGTACCCTCAGGCACCTTGAAAGGCCTGCCACCCCGCCTGGGCACACAGGGGAGGGCGAGAGGCAGCCGTGGGGGGAGGGGAAAAGCCGCATCACGATTCACAAAGCAACCTGCAAAGCAGCGTGCGTGGAGAAGGGTAGCAAAGAGCCATGCAATGCACGTGCAGGTGTGCAGTGTGGATCAGGATCAGGGGATGAGGAGGCGTACCCTCCGCGCTTCTTCCACTTGCGGCCGCCATAGAGGTTGTTGATTCGTGCGGTCACATCTCTGGTGAGCTCCAGGTGCTGCCTCTGGTCCTCGCCCACTGGCACCACGTCACACTGTGCATGGCCCACATGCATGGTATGCATGCATGGGACGCACGCATGCGAGCAGGGAACGCATGGCAAGGCAAAGAAAATCAAGACATTGAGTAACACACCTGGAGACACACCCAGGCAGAAATTTGACACGTGACGAAGAACCTGAGCAGCGGACCAGCACCTGGAGAAGCACCTGGAGAAGCACATGGGAAACGGAGGCGAACCTGGTAGAGGAGGATGTCTGCTGCCATGAGGAGCGGGTAGGTGAGCAGCCCTGTGCCCACGTCCTCGCCCTGAACGCATGCAGAGGGACGCAGTGAGAGAGGGTGCGGACATAGGGGTGCAAAGAGACAGGAAGGTTGGAACTGAAGGGTGCTGAAGAGTGTCATCTGAGTGAAGAGGAGTCTCACGGCATAGGAGACAAGTCCTTGGTTTTTAATGCTCACACCCAGGTACATGGCTGCTGCTGTGCGTGATGAGCGTGATAGGTCGTCCACGTCATGGGGTAGGGTGATCTGCAGGCACGGAGGAAAGGGGGCATGAAGAGATAGTGGGCCGGGTGAGGAGTGTGATGGGTTGCAGGAATGAGAGAAGAATAAGAGGATTCGGAGAGAGCACAAATTGTTGGGTTCGTGAGGGAAGGGACACACGGGTTGGAGGAGGCGAACGTGAGCGTGGGATTGGTAATGAGGGCGTGGGGCTGGGAACGAGGGCGTGGGTTTGGGAACGAGAGCGTGGGATGGGAAAAGATGGCGTGGGTGGGGAAGCGAGTGGGACGATGAGGGTGAGGAGTGCTAGAATGAGAGGAGGTGAGAGCAACAGCAGGCAGGGACGATGCGACTCTGTTCCCTTTTGCAGCACTGATTGCGATGAGGTCCTGAGAGCAACGGCATGCAGGGATGATGCAACCTCTATTGCAACAAGGACCCTTTTGCAAGGGTCTCTATAGCAGCACTTACTGCGTGCAGGTCGACCACGAAGAGGAAGGTGTCGCACTCGTCCTGCACTCAGCCACACACACGGACATGCATTGTGGCATCCACATGATATGCAATACCATGCGGTGTCACGCCACGCCACACCATGAATTAGCAATAAGGGAGAGAGATTGATGGATGTCTGTCATCAAGAGACACCACGCAGACATGATCAAAGGTACAAACGTTGTCATTGCGGAACATGGATTTTTTTATAATGAAGTTAACTCCTGTATACTCCCTGCCTTCAGGCTCCGGCTAATGGCTGACGCACCTGCAGCGGGATCCAGTTCTTGATTGCGCCCAAGTAGTTTCCCAGATGGATGCTTCCCGTCGGCTGGACGCCTGAAACGAGACGCTTTCTGAAGAGTACAAACGAGAAGGAACAAGCGGAGGGGAAGATGAAAATGCGGGGACTAACTCACGCGCAAGGCTCAGTCCGGTATCAAATCCAGTTCAGAAACAACGATTCGTAGACGACCCCAGAGCAGCAACCAGGCGGTTTTCGAGAATTCCTAGAAAGCCGGCTGTTCTTTTGCCACGTGCTGAAGCATTGCCTATAGCCGACCCATTCCAGCGACCTTCGCTCTCTCACGGTCTCACCTCACAGCAGCCTTCCCCTCGCTCGATCCCGCTCCGCCAGCCTCGGCCGAAACGGACGGCTCAGATGCTCCTATCGCGGGAGCTGCCTCTGCGACGGACACACCGCTGCTTCCTCCCTCCGCGCTCGACGCTGCTGCTCTTATTGATGAGCAGAGAGTTTTAGAACCGGTTGATTTGAGGGTTACGAGGCTGTGGCGTGGAACAGGGGTTATGGACTGTGCGGATGAAAGGAACGGTCTAAACGATAGTAGGAGAGACTGATACGGTGAACGTGAAAGCCGTGAAACGGATCTTCCAGGCGATGACGCTTATGCGACAGTGGCAGGCGACAGTGACGTGGCTGCCGATTTGATTGCTCCGAGACGGAATGGCGAGCGAAGCGCAATCATGGCTGGCAAGCGGTGAAGCCGGCCAAGAACAAGCATTTAGTGCAAGAAATGTAGCTCCAATCGCCTCCTAGCCTAACAATGCTGAAGCAGCAAACTAAAGCCTAGGCTACTAAAGCTTACTTCTGCTAGAGAAAATGCCGTGGAGGCTCCCAAGACTGTTCGCACAGCGAGCGACACATCATGTAGCTCCTAACGCGACCCAGCATTGGGATTGTGCTGGTGAGCCATTCGGCCACGTGTCAATCCATGTGACCACATTTTGCGTCTGCGACATAGAGGGAAACCACAAGCGAAACGACCACATATTGTATCAGATTCATGAAATGGGCATTAGACACAGCCTTAGAATTTGTCGGCAAACACAACCTTCATCGCATGCGCCGAACTTTTCTGTGCACGCGAACCAAGTTGAAAGTGCTCAGGTAGGTGTATTTGAGCAAGGGCCACCCGAATATGCAACAACGTTCAGGTCGTTCGATGTTTTTCCCTACGTCTATAGGGATCCATGCGCTTCCTTAGCATTTGTCGGCAGACACAGCCGTCATCGCAGGCGCCGAACTTTTCTGTGCACGCGAACCGAGCTGAAAGTGCTCAGGTAAGTGTATTTGAGCAAGGGCCACCCGAATATGCAACAACGTTCAGGTCGTTCGATGCTTTTCCCTACGTCTATAGGGATGCATGCGCTTTCTTAGCATTTGTCGGCAGACACAGTCGACATTGAAGGCGCCGAACTTTTCTGTGCGCGCGAACCGAGCTGAAAGTGCTCATCTAGGTGTATTTCAGCAAGGGCCACCCGAATATGCAACAACGTTCAGGTCGTTCGATGCTTTTCCCTACGCCTATAGGGATGCATGCGCTTCCTTAGCATTTGTCGGCAGATACAGCCATCATCGCAGGCGCCAAACTTTTCTTTGCGGTCGAACCAAGCTGAAAGTGCTCAGGTAGGTGTATTTGAGCATGGGCCACCCGAATATGCAACAACGTTCAGGTCGTTCTATGGTTTTCCCTACGCCTATAGGGATCCATGCGCAGCCGTCATCGCATGCGCCGAACTTTTCCGTGCGCGCGAACCAAGCTGAAAGTGCTCAGGTAGGTGTGATTGAGCATGGGCCTATGAAAGATAGAACGAGGAATGAGTGCATTGAGCAGAATGAGGAGTACAAGTGGGAAACCCTAAAGTGTTGTACCCCATATGAACTACCCAACTACAGCCTACACAGACTATAACATATAAGTTTGACAGTGCCATCCGAATATGCAACAACGTTCAGATCCTTTGATGCTTTTCCCTACGCCTATAGAGATCCATGCGCTTCCTTATCATTTGTCAGGAAACACACCCGTCATCGCAGTCGCCGAACTTTTATGTGTGCACGAACCAAGCTGAAAGTGCTCAGGTAGGTGTATTTGAGCATGGGCCACCCGAATATGCAACATCGTTCAGATCGTTCGATGCTTTTCCCTACGCCTTTAGGGATGCATGCGCTTTCTTAGCATTTGTCGGCAGACACTGCCGTCATAGCAGCCGCCGAAATTTTCTGTGCGCGCGAACCAAGATAAAAATGCTCAGGTAGGTGTATTTGAGTATGGGCCACCCGAATATGCAACATCGTTCAGGTCGTTTGATGCTTTTCCCTACGCCTATAGGGATGCATGCGCTTCCTTAGCATTTGTCCGCAGACACATCCGTCCTCGCAGGCGCGGAACTTTTCTGTGCGCGCGAACCAAGCTGAAAGTGCTCAGGTAGGTGTATTTGAGCATGGGCCCCCCGAATATGCAACAACGTTCAGGTCGTTCGATGCTTTTCCCTACGCCTATAGGGATGCATGCGCTTCCTTAGCATTTGTCCGCAGACACATCCGTCATCGCAGGCGCGGAACTTTTCTGTGCGCGCGAACCAAGCTGAAAGTGCTCAGGTAGGTGTATTTGAGCATGGGCCCCCCGAATATGCAACAACGTTCAAATCGTTCGATGCTTTTCCCTACGCCTATAGGGATGCATGCGCTTCCTTAGCATTTGTCGGCAGACACAGCCGTCATCGCAGGCGCCGAACTTTTCTGTGCGCGCGAACCAAGCTGAAAGTGCTCATGTAGGTGTATTTGAGCATGTGCCACCCGAATATGCAACAACGTTTTAGGTCATTTGATGCTTTTCCCTACGCCTATAGGGATGCATGCGCTTCCTTAGCATTTGTCGGCAGACACAGCCGTCATCGCAGGCGCCGAACTTTTTTGTGCGCGCGAACCAAGCTGAAGGTGCTCAGGTAGGTGTATTTGAGCATGGGCCACCCACATATGCAACAACGCTCAGATTGTTTGATGCTTTTACCTACGCCTAAAGGGATGCGTGCGCTTACTTAGCATTTGTCGGCAGACACAACCGTCGTCGCAGGCGCCGACTTTTTTTTGGGCGCGGGAACCAAGCTGAATGTTCTCAGATAGGTGTATTTGAGCATGGGCCACCCACATATGCAACAACATTCAGGTGGTTTGATTCCTTTACCTATGCCTAAAGGGATCCATGCGTTTCCTTAGCATTTGTCGGCAAACACAACCGTCATCGCAGGCGCCGAGCGCTTCCACCCCCAAAACGCGGAAGGATCCGCACATGTGCAGGAAGTGCAGCGGGCGCTCTTCATTCGCGAGGCCGATGACCGATGATGCTTGCAACCCTCCCACGCCCTTGGTGGCTTGGAAATAGGCCCAGACAAGCGCAGCCACGTATCCCGACGGAAGAAAAACGCTCGGAGCGCTTCCAGCCCCAAATTGCGGAAGGATCCCCACGTGTGCAGGAAGTGCAGTGGACGCTCATCATTGGCGAGCGCTGACGACCGATGATGCTCGCAATCATCCTACGCCCTTGCTGGCTTGGTAATAGGACCAGAAAAGCGCAACCACATGACCAGGCGGAAGAAAAACGCTCGGAACGAGCGCTTCCAGCCTCAAAACGAGGAAGGATCCGCACATGTGCAGGAAGTGCAGCGATCGCTCTTCATTCGCGAGCGCCGATGACTGATGATGCTCGCAACCCTCCCACGCCCTTGCCGGTTTGGTATTAGAACCAGACAAGCGCAGACACGTATCCCGACGGAAGAAAAACGCTCGGAACGAGCATTTCCACCCCCAAAACGCGGAAGGATCAGCACATGTGCACGAAGTGCAGCGGGCGCTCTTCAGTCACGAGCGCCGATGACCGATGATGCTCGAAACCCTCCCACGCCCTTGCTGGCTTGGTAATAGGCCCAGAGAAGCGCAGCCACCTGGCCTGGCGGAAGAAAAACGCTCGGAACGAGCGCTTCCACCCCCAAATCGCGGAAGGATCCGCACATGTGCAGGAAGTGCAGCGGACATTCTTCATTCGCGAGCGCCGATGACCGATGATGCTCGCAACCCTCCCACGCCCTTGCTGGCTTGGTAATAGGCCCAGACAAACGCAGCCACGTGACCCGACGGCTAATGGCTGACGCACCTGCAGCGGGATCCAGTTCTTGATTGCGCCCAAGTAGTTTCCCAGATTTATGCTTCCCGTCGGCTGGACGCCTGAAACGAGACGCTTTCTGAAGAGTACAAACGAGAAGGAACAAGCGGAGGGGAAGAGAAAATGCGGGGACTAACTCACGCGCAAGGCTCAGTCCGGTATCAAATCTAGTTCAGATACAACGGTTCACAGACGAACCCAGAGCAGCAACCAGGCGGTTTTCAAGAATTCCTAGAAAACCGGCTGTTCTTTTGCCACGTGCTGAAGCATTGCCTGCAGCCGACCCACTCCAGCGACCTTCGCTTTCTCACGGTCTCACCTCACAGCAGCCTTCCCCTCGCTCGATCCCGCTCCACCTGACTCGGCCGAAACGGACGGCTTAGATGCTCCTTTCGCGGGAGCTGCCTCTGCGACGGGCACACCGCTGCTTCTGCCCTCCGCGCTCGACGCTGCTGCTCTTATTGATGAGCAGAGAGTTTTAGAACCGGTTGATTTGAGGGTTACGAGGCTGTGGCGTGGAACAGGGGTTATGGACTGTGCGGATGAAAGGAACGGTCTAAACGATAGTAGGAGAGACTGATCGTACGGTGAACGTGAAAGCCGTGAAACTAATCTTCCAGGCGATGACGTGATTGCGATAGTGGCAGGCGACAGTGATGTGGCTGCCGATTTGATTGCTCCGAGACGGAATGGCGAGCGAA